ACTTTTCAAGCACAACATAGGTAGAGACGACCCTTTTTAATAGGTCGTATTTATTCACGGTGCAGATTTACACAATAGTTATACCATTGTTTTATATTTGTATGAGTTTAAATAATTGATTTATAATTCTAATTTAGATAGCTGCATTAAAATTTTATAAATACATATATTAGGACTTTGATATTTTATGAATTTAAAATTTATTAATATATCAAGTTTGAATAAAATAAATTATCAAATAATTATTAGTTTATAAAGAAATTGTTTAAAAGTTTATTATAATATTGCATAAAATTTTTTTCTAACTTTTTAGGTTCAAAATACCTAAAATTGTTATTTTTATATTTGTATAATTATTTTAATAATAATAATTTATAATATTAATCAGAAATAAGAAAACACTCTTAAATAAGAAACTTAATTTTTTTAATAATTTTTTAAAAAACCACTACAAAATAGATATTCAGTAATTGTTTTGAATATTATATACATATTGTTATTAAAATATATTATTTAATACTTCATATTTTTTATATTCTTTTAGTATTATGATTAATAATACATTAACTTTTTTGTATTAACTGTATTTTATATAATTTGTAGTATCATTACATTTTTAAAAACGACACATATCATTTTTAAAAATGACACATATCATTTTTACAATAAACCAAAATGATGAAGTGGCACTCATATAGAGAGAGTTGAATATCTTTTAAATTTGTACTCCATTAAATTTTTAAAAATGACATAAACCAAAATGATGAGGTGGCACTCATATGAAGAGAGTACCCGTGCAAAAGTATCCGTGCATACATGCAGGTTTTTAGTTTCGTAAAAAATTGATGTTAAACCGATTTGATATTTTATACATTATATATTATATTTTTATTAAATTAAATAATTGATTTATAATTCTAATTTATACAGCTGCATTTAATATCGTATAAATAAATATATTAGAACTTTGATATCTTAATAATTTAAAACTTATTAATGGATCAAGTTTAAATAAAATAAATTATCAAATAATTACTAGTTTATAAAGAAATTATTTAAAGTTTATTATAATATTGTATAAATTTTTCTTCTAACTTTTTAAAGTTCAAAATATCAAATAATTATTATTTTTTATATTTATATAATTGGTTTTATAGTAATAACTTATGATATTAATAAGAAATAGGAAAATACTCTTAAATAAGAAACATAAATTATTTTAATGATTTTAAAAACTACCAAAAAATGATATTAAGTATATAATGTTGATAAAATATATTATCTACTATATTTTTCATATTCTTTTATATTCTTTTAGTATTATGATCAATATATAATACATTAATTTATGCATTAACTGTATTTTATATAATTTGTATCATTAAATTTAGAAAAATGACACATGTCATTTTCACATTAAACCAAAATAATGAGGTGGCACTCAGCAGCTGGATGTCATCTTTTATCGTATAAATTACTCTATAGATTTTTTTAACAAAAACAAATCTATAGATTTTCAATTCCTCTCCCAAAAAACTCCTAATTATTGAACTTTTTGGTCAAAAGAAGAAAGAAACGCCTAATTAATTAACTTTTTGCTCAACAAAAAAAAACGCCTACTTTTGTCAACAGTAAATTTCATTTCATCTAAGAATAGTAATACTATTTTCCTCCACAACAAATATTAGATCACAAATTATCTCAAAGAAAAAGAATAATATAATATCACAAAAACAAATCATCGCTTTAGATCAATATCAATGAACATATTTCTGTTCAACACATTTATTTGTAATTACGTTGCCAAACGTCATAAATACATACGCATTACTATAATGTATATGAAAAAAAAACAGAAACACCTTACAGTTAGTCATAAATGTCGATTCATATATAAATTCTAATTTACTCCCTCACAAATATTATTATTTCACAAAAAGAAACAGAAAAAAGGGCAATGGCTTTCTCAAGGAATCACAATATCATTTTCATGCTAATCCCATTCCTAATCATTCTTTCAACGACTTCATTTACGTCTGCGGGACTTTTGCCCTTCTCATCCAAACATATTGTGATCATCAACAAACTTGTGACGCGTCAGACACTGATTGTGCATTGTAAGAACAAAGGTGAAGATAAAAGAGTGATCACACTCAGACCTGGTGATAGTTTCGATTTTAGGTTTCGTGTTAACCTCCGCAAAACAACGGTGTACACTTGTACCTTTACTTGGCCTGGCAATGTAGCTACGTTTGATATTTTTAGAGCTGATCGTGACGATAATCCCAAAAGCAAAGTTGGAGTTTGCAGCGAATGTATTTGGAGTATTTACGAGCCAGCACTATGTAGAGATAGACGTGATGGAGGTCAACCAAACTGTTTCCCATGGACTTTTTAAATTTTTATAAAAATATTTAGAATCGCATCTTTTTTACTTTGTGTTTCTTTGTGATACAACGTCAATTATAATCAACTAAGAAATCTCGTTTTTTAAATAATATTTTACGTATTTATCACTTTATCTTTTAATATATTCAGGATTACATACATATATGTGAAGTATTATTATACAACCATACAAATTACAATCTTTTTTTACTTACAAGTCATTCATGGCATATAGCACGAGCCAGTCACAATATTTATGAAATACCCTTTTTCTTAAATATATAAATTGTAACCTATTTTCATTTTTTTATAATGTTAGATAATTATATTTATTAGTTTAATGGAAAAAAGAAATGTATAAACAAATTACCTTTTCTAGCTGCTTTAGATTAATTAATTAACTGTTTTGGATTATTTTATAATATCCTAGTTGGTGATCCGCGCCACATGCGGCTATGTGATTTATTTTTATATATTTTTGTATTAGATTTGTTGTATCGTATATTTTTGAGAATTTTAAGATATATTTCTATTTCTCACATGTACTTCTCTCGAATTTTCCATCTTTTTCAAATTTCTAGTTTGTGATCGCTGCGACAAGAGAATTTGATTATCATTTTATGTATTTTTATATTATATTTATTGTATCATATAGTTTTGGACATTTTGTTACTGTTTCTTTTTTTTTTCCAATGTACCCATCTTGAAATTTTTTTATCTTATCTCAATTTCAATCAAATATTATCAATTCAAGATTATTTGGATTATTTGGATTATTCAAACAAATAAGAAAAGAAAACATATATGATATTAGATATCCAAATTATCCATTTAAGAATTAAAAATTTTAAAATTATATAGTTTCCTAAAATTATCAGTAATTTTTCTAAAATATTTTTTTTTAAAATTGACTTTCATCCAAATTATTGATAATTTGTGAATAGATTTTAGATAATGCAATTTCTTGAACCCACCTTATTACTCGAATTTCATGTTCTATTTTTATTAAATTTCCTTTGGAAATTGTTTTCCGTCTTTCGAATTACCAATTTTCACCACACACTCTTAAATTTCTATTTTAAATCTTGAAATACTCAAATTTAGTGTATATCATTATTATTATTTTTTTATTTTGTATTTTTTTTTTCTGACACCATATTATAATTTAACGTTTTATGTTTGTTATTTTTTATATTGAATTTTAATGTTATTTTTTATTATTTTCTGTCTTTCTTATTATCAATCCCCGTCAAACACTCGTAAATTTCTGCCTTGAATATTGAAATAGTCAGAGCTAGTGCATATCATTATTTATTGGTTTTTATATTGTTTTTATTTTGTATTTTGTTAATTTTTTTAATCTTCTGACAACATATTATAATTTGTTTTTTGCTATTTTTATATTGAATATTAATATTAATTTATATTATTTTCCATCTTTCTAATTACCAATTTCTGCTACACACTTGTAAATTTCTGCCTTTAATCTTGTGTTTTGTTGATTTATATTTTTTTAACAACACATTGTATTTGTCTTCTTATGTTTATAATTTTTTTATATTGATTGTTAATTTTAATTTTTATTGTTTTATATCTTTTTAATTATCAATTCTCATCACACTTGTAAAGTTTTGCATTGAATCTTGAAATATTCAAAGCTAATGTATATAATTATTTTTGGTTTTATTTTATTTTATTTTTTTATAATATATAATAATTGTATTTTTATTTTTTCTATTTTTTATATTGAATGCTAATGTTATTTTGTATTTAAAAAAAAAATGAAAAATAATTAACGATATAGTTGTTAAGGTAACAGCACCGGATGAGAAAATATCTTACTTTATATATATATATATATATAGATAATCACGTGCAATTTACTGCCATTTGTTGGGGAGCTTTGAATGGTCAATTTACTGCCGTTTTAAAATTTGAGAGAGAGAGTGATTATCATCTTGAATTGTCAGTACAATACCTTATAAACTGTATGAGAAAGCACTACTATCAAGCAAATGCGGTATCCGGCTGCCTCTGGGAGGGAGATATCACTCTCTTTGAAGAAGCCGAAGAGTTTCTCCAGGAAAACAATGGTAGCATTTTTGAACGAGACTGCCCGTTAACCTTTGAGCTCAACTTCACTAATTCACCGTTTGATTTTTACCCAAAGTTTGCAGTCTCAAGAATTGTGGTTCACAGACTTAATGAGTATTCATATGAAGGTGCATTTGAGAGAGTGATGAAACGGTTTGATGAGATAGGTGTTTACGAACCTCTACCCGGTGAGCGACTTGAGGGGGATATTTATTACTACAAGAAGTATTGTATGGTTTTATCCCGGTCAGTTTAGATTAATTTTTGGAAATTCCAAAAGAGTTCATGGAACTGAGATAGACGATCATAGTTATCTGAAAATTGCAAAGAGAAAGAGAATGGTTACAGAATTCGTTAAAATAGTTCTGTCATAATCAGAATCTGAATCAGAAATCAGAAGCACAAGCTAAAAAACAGCGTCAAGAAGAACCAGAAGAACAAGTTAAAAGACCCCGCCATGAACAAACAAGATCTTTCACTGACGCAACAATGACCTCTATCTCTATGCTCATGCTGGAATGATTGTAGCCACAAAACGTTTGAAGGCAGAAAATTTTGAGGGCTTTGACTTTACCAAGGCTTTGAACCAAAAGTTTTCTCTTAGTTACATGTAGTAAGATTACGTTTACATTTATTGGTAATAAAGAATACTTCTATTCGTGTCACTAACCCTTTTTGTATTGGATGTTTCAAACAATGTAATAATGGAGCCAACCTAAGTTCCTTCTCCGTCAGCTGAAACGATCAAAATTCCAACAGCCCATTATGAGTTTGATGCCAATTATTTTGACCTACGGGTAGCATTTTTGATAATCAATTTGTTTCATATTGTTATGACCCTCAAGAAGATATGATAATGACGAACTTTTTTTGCAGTTGATGCTTATTGGAAGGGTTGTGAGTGATGGTAGACTGAAAGCTAATATAATTGATAAGTTGGTCTTGAAGGTGAATGCTCAGGTAAGTTGTGCAACGGGAATATGTGATTGCATCTGGATATTACTTTCATTCTCTATAACATCGTGTTTATCATCTTTATTTACTGTATTTGCCAGCTGACAAATGAGCAACATATGCCACATGCAATGTTTAACTTTGATTACATGGTAAGGAGATTCTCTCTATTTGAATATTTCTAATAACTGTGATGCACCTGTTGCTTGCATTTGGTTCATCTGAGTTTCCTTAACTTTTCTGTCTCATGTTTGTGTAGGGACAAGAATACAGAGCCCAGCTTCAACTTGGGAACATTGCTCTAATTGGAGTAACCTATATCCATGTAAAGTAGACCATTGTCCCTTGCTACAGTTGGCATTTATGTAGATCTTTAGGTGTGAAGTCAGATATTGCTACAGCTGCATTTTAGTAGATCTTTCTATGTGACTTCACACCGAAAAGGGTTAGCTATCTTTGAACTTACGCTCATGTGTAGTTACCTTAATTCAACCACCTATATAACGTAGAGATAAGATATTAATCAAAATAGAATATCATGTTTTGCTCTAATGTATACTTTCAGTTTTTATTTCAAATAGAGTAATTTCAAAAGAGAGTTACCAAGATAGAGTAACTTCAAAATAGAGTTATGTTTTGCTCCAATGTATACTTTCAGTTTTTACTCTAAAATATAATATTCTAAATAGATACTATTTTATTTTATTAATAATATTTTTTATTTTTAAAATTTACAAGTTATATGAATTAAATATCTATTAAATAATGAAATACATAATATCATACAAATATATGTATATAAGAAAAATATCTAATATTTGTATGGTTTTTGGATTTTGGATTCCTATCTAATATTTAAAAAGAAAAATTCAGGTGATGAAATGGTATAAAAGAAAAATATCTAATATTTAAAAAAAAATCAGTTTATAAATAGAAAAAAATCAAATCTAAATTGGAGTAAAATATAATGAGAAATATAGGTGATGAATGTTTGTATGGTTTTTGGATTTTGGATTTTGGTTTTTGTTTTTAGATTTTGGTTTTTGGTTTTTGATATAGATTTTGGTTTTTCTAAAAACTAGAATGGTGATTTATTTAGTTTTTGGTTTTGAAGTAATTTTTTCTAATCAAGATCTATTAAAAAACATTTAAGGTAAAAATGATAAAATAATATATATTTAGTTAATACAAAAACGTTTTTTCTTATAAAAATAATAAATAATACAAAACATTATGGTATTTCATTAAAAACATTATTTCATAAAAAACACACTTAATTCTATGATATAAATAACAGATATTCTAGCATTTAATAGATTTTTTTTTTTGTGAAAGTGCATTTAATAGATTGTTTAATGATAAAACAATATTTTTTTAAAAATATCAAAAAACAAAAGAAAACAACTTAAAGCAGCATTATCTAGAAAAACCCATAAATTGTGGTTTTTGATTTCTGTTCACAAAATTACAAAAATTTTGAAAGTAGTTTCCTTATAATTTTGGAAATCTATTTACTTAAAAGCTTGAACGATAAAAAAAGTAGTTTTTCAGAAACTAAAACCAAAACTTATTCTAAAACTCCAAACAATCAAGATTCAAGACTATAATAGGGTTGGGAAAAAATTAACTCTAAAATAGCATTTAGAATACAAAATAGTGTAAAATCAGAGATATTTTATAGAATTTGGAGTACAAAATAGAGTAAAGTTAAAGTATAAACGTTTTATTTTTTATTACTATTATTAAATTATTCTCTTGTTTTGGTTTGATTTAATGATGCTTTCAGGTTGGGAATATAAACCTCCTTTCAGGTTTGGTAGTAATGGGAAATGCCGAGATCGTATGCGCTTCATAAAAGACCTGTCTAAAGAGATCTCGAGTGCAAACTCTAAACTACATGGCCAAGCGAATGGGGGGAAGTAGAGCAAAGCAACTAATCTTGTGGATTCCACCATCGCAAGGTTGGATGAAGATGAATACGAATGGAGCGTCTAGAGGTAATTCGCGACTGGCCACTGCTAGTGGGGTTTTACGGGATGAGGATGAGCAATGGGTTTATGGTTTTGCATTAAACATCGGAGTATGCTCGGCTCCGCTAGCAGATGTCAATGAGCCAGCCCGCGCTTGCACGGGCTTGTTTGCAGCGGATTTGAAATTCTGTGTATCCATGTGGGTCGGCCCGCCGCAGGTTACAAATAACTGATCCTAGGCCTAACCCTGACCCCGCCCTTATTTAGCGAGTTTCAGACTGGCCCGCGGGCTACATTAAACACATCAATCCAATCCAACGCTGTCTCCACTCGGGGTGATCATCGAGAACTTGACCCGAACACTCTCCCCTTGGTGGTGGTTTGGTTGAGGTTTGGTGGAGATGCGGCGAGTTGTCCATACAGGACTCTGTTTTCTCACACACTCTGTTTTCTTTCTTCTTCTCGTGGTTCTTGCTGTTGCTGCTTCTCTGCAAGTTATTTGCCATCAATATCAAAAGTTTTGCCATTGATATCAAAAGTTGAGAAAGTAAAAAGAGTTTAAGATATCTTGTGCATAGAAGAGGGTGACATTTAAAAGCTTTAGATAATGCAGAATCTGTTTGACAAATATAATCATGTGGTTGTGTTGTTACTTGTGGGAGCTCTCATAAAGGTAACGATTTTGAACCCTCATACCAAATCCATGCTTCACCTTCTCGATCCTATTTCAAGTGATTGAACATTTCGTTTTAAAAAAAATCTCAGAATCTAACTATGTTTGGTCTCAGAACCTCAAACTAAAAAAAATATCTGCATGTGTCTATGTAATTTGCTTACTGACGGTTTGTTCTTGATTACCTTTTGCGTCTCTGTCCTCTGCACCTCTCTTTTCTTTGCATCTCTCTTTTCTGACCAGGTTTGGTTCCAAATTCTTTGCTGCAATGAATTACAATAAAGAGAATTGAGCAACATGTGTGTGTTTTCAAGAGAAAAAAGAGTTTAAGAGTTTATGTTCAGCTATTGCAAATCAAACTTTAGCTTATGAGTTTAGAGAGAGGAGGAGTATCATGAAGAAATGTTACTTGAAACTCCTTGTAATCTAGAAGACCGTTTCCATTAGTGTCAGCTTGAATCCACATATCTTTAATCTCCTTTGTGGTGAGTCCATTGCAATGACCCGTTAGATTGAGCTGTACATGAATGATTAGAAAAAAAAAAACTCTATGAACAACTCTTTCTTCCGTTCCAATCTCTGCCACAACAACACAATACGACTATACATCACGAAAATGTAAAATCCAGCCAAAGTAGTTACCCAATGAGACAATTTTCCTGAGAATCTAGTGCACTTATGAACGCCTCTGATGACATAAGGAGATCCCACACATTAAGAACCTGAATGTGTAGTCATACTTGGAAATCCAAGTGACGTGAAACGAAGTCTCAGGAAAATTCTCACAGGGAAGAACAAAATACATGTTATAAAACATCACAACAGTGCACCACATTCAACTATTCGAGTTGTTTAGTAAAGATAGCATTGTTTTGCAACAACCTAAACCACAGACCTTAAGCTCAATAAGAACAATCGAATAAGCTAGAAAAGTGAGCTTCTCGATTGTAGGACAATGAACCAGACAAGTTTTGGCTAAGAAGAAAGCAAAATTGTTACTAAAAATTGAAGGAAGAAATCAAAATTGAAAGTTTTATACCTGTATTTAAAAGCTTCATGCATGTATTTGCTAGAATTCGAAGCTAAGTTAGAGTGGAATGTCCGATGTCGATATACTCTAATTTCCTATCTATCGCCATCTTGAGAAGAAATCAATAGGAAATAGGAATAGATCGACACCAACAATGGCGGAATCGCTGACTGGAGAAATTGAGGAAGCTAAATCACTGAAGAAATTGAAGAAGATAGATCAATGGCAAAGAAGATGAAGATATTTGCAGATGTCTGCCTTATCCGCAGAACCATAGCGGGTTAACCCGCTAGCCTCGCAACCCGTACGGGTCTGGCCCGATAGGTCCGCTATTCTGGCGGATAATTTTATAAAGCCCAAGTCCGCCCGGCAACACACTTGCTTGGGCCAGGCCCGCAGGCTGCAGGTCAAGCTGACATCTCTAGAGGTAATCCAGGATTGGCCACTGCTGGTGGGGTTTTACGGGATGAGGATGGGCAATGGGTTTGTGGTTTTGCATTGAACATCGGAGTATGCTCGGCTCCGCTAGCAGAATTATGGGGTGAGTATTATGGGCTTTATTCTGCGTGGGAGAAGCGAGTGAGCAGACTCGTGATTGATGTTGATTCAAAGATTGTTGTGGGATACTTAACTACAGGGATTGGTGAAACACACCCCCTGTCCTTCCTAGTACGGTTGCGCTATGGCTTCTTAGCAAGGGACTGGATAGTCTGAGTGGTTCATGTGTTCAGGAAGGCAAATCGTCTAGCAGATGGACCAGCCAACCATGCTTTTTCTCTTCCTTTAGGTTTTCAAAAGAATGCTTTTGATATTCCTCCTGTTGAGATTGATCTCGTGTTGTTAGAAGATGCTAATAGTACTACACGAGCATGATCTATAAGGATGTAGTTTGTTGGTTTGCATTGATTTGAATAAAATGGTGGAGACAATTGTCTCCATCACAGTACCCAAAAACAAAAAAAATGAATAGCGGCAAAATCTTACGCCAACACATTTACCGAACCCACCACACCGGCACATTGTAAATTTGAGATATTTTTTCTAAATTCTTTTTTTTTTAGATCTTTCTTCACATTTTCTACTAATTAATTTGTTTGTTTTTCTTATTATATGTTCATCTTAGTGGTGGAGCATTGAACCCGATGCCAGTTCTCATGCACTTCCGTATCGTCGATTAGCCTCTTCATCAATAATTATTGATAATTTTTATAAATTATCTATCAGTTTTTTAAAAAAAATATTAACCTGATTTCATTTTAAGTGAACTGAATGATAGTTTATTTTTTTAGTTAAAGTTATGTCAAAACATTATTACTATTATAAACATTGAAATAAAAAAGTAAATTATATGCAAAACATAAGCAATACATAATAAATAATATAATATAAAATAAGAAAATTTATTATGTTATTTTAAGGTAAACTAGGTAATAACCAACATCCTGTGAGAGGTAAAATAATTATTATTTATTTAAATTTAATATAATTTAAAATTATATAATATAATATATTTAAATTTATATAAATTATTATACAATATTATACTATAACATTCACAATATAGTTTTATGTATATTTTTTATGAAATACAAGATAATTTAATTTTAATTTAAATTAATTTAAAAATTAAGTAGCACGCATAACACATGATATAACTGGATAAAAATACGAAGTTACCATACAGATTTTCTATATCCCGTAACTGATGATATGATTCATTATTTTCACCAATGTCTAAAATTTTGGTATACAATATTTAAGTACATATTTTATTACTTTTGACTCTTAAATAATTAAATATTATATGTTAAATAGTTTGTTACTTATCTATTAAATATTATTAGTTAAATAAATTAATAAATTTTCCTAATCTCAAATTAGACTTGTTCAAAATATAATATAAATTGATAAGATAATATTTTAGTAGGAAAATCTATATAAATATATGGTTTTATTAACATCATAAATTAATAATTACCATAAAATAATTTAATATAACTACATAACTATGATAATTTACTAAAATATAAATATATAATGGTTTGTTTTTATTGTTATGGTTTGTCTACAATTTAAAAGTGAAATATTTAAAGATATCATTAACTTTTAAAACAAATATATTTTTAATTAATTATTTATAAATAATTTATTTAATTCCAAAACCGATAAATTTATAAGTCTTTAAATTAATAAAATATTAAAATCACAATATTATCAATTTGTAAAAAAATTACAGTAAATAAATTGATTGATTTAAAGCCGACAAACTAAGAAAGAAAAACATGATCAAACCTTGCTTAAAATTTGATAATGTATATGATAAATCAAACATTAATTAAAAAAATAAACAATTAATACTGATATTATCTTACCAAAAAAAAAGTAAACAATAATGTTATATACCATATTTGTTATCTAAGAATTATATATAAATTAAACCATAATGCAATATATTATAATTCTTTATAGTAAATCCGAATATTAATAATATATATCGTAGTAATTTTGAAAATTCGTCATTATGATTTGTTTTTCTTTCAATTGTCGTTTCTGACAAAAATAATATATACTTTTAATAATATATTTTGTATATATTATTATGAATTGTTAAAATATAGAAACTTTAAAATATTTAGCTTGAAGTAGTATATATGTTTTCACAATTATTTTCATGCATGCTATAATTACAACAATATGTGAATAAAATCATGAGAAATTCCCTCAAATGCATCTAATTTAAGTTTTTGTTCCATATATACACTAACACTCAAAAAAATTCCTTCGATAACATTTTGTACCAAATTAATCTTAGTTAGACAAAACATTAGTTAGTAAAAAGAGAAGAAAGATAATGTACAAATAAATGTATCAATGGCCAAGACTGATCTGAAATCAAATCATTGTTTTGTTTAGGATCACTCTTCTCATTTGATTGTGATTTGTGATTGTGAATCTCTTAGATTTTGGGGGTTTTATGGAAAAGTAATTTCGGGATTTAAAGCTCAAAATCATATAATAATAGATAAATCTGATATAATTAGATGAAAAACCCAAGAAATCCGAGCTAAAACAACAACAATGGTGAAAAAAATAGAAATCGGCGGAAATTAGGGTTTGGATGTCGCAGAGGTGAGGAAAAAGATGAGTAAATTTAGGAATATATTTTAAAGTTTTAGGAAGACATTCCTAAAATATATAAATTAAGGAAGTCATTACATGTATTTAGGAATGTCTTCGTAAATTATATAATTAATTATTATTTTTGTTAATTTATACAACTGAAATTCAACAAGCTTTTCACAATTCAGGAAACCTTTCCACAATTCACGAAGCCCTTCCACAATATAAGAAATTTTTAAAAAATTAAGAAAGTTTTCCTAAACCATATGAAACGATGTTCATTTCTAGTATTTAGAAGACCTTCCTAAAAAAATTACGAAACATTAACAGAAAAAAAAATATTAAAATCGGAAAACTCAAATGAAAAATGTTAGGGGTGGAAAAATTTTAGCTTTCCTGTTATATTTGTCCTGAAAACTTATTTTCAGTGTAATTCTGGAAATTGCCTTAAAATCATTATGGCTTTTTTTTATTTTTTCTGATTGATTTTTGAGAAAAATAAAATTTTAATTTTAATTATTATGTTGTATTTATAAAAATATTTTTAATAGTCAATTAATAAATATATTTTTTAATAAAAGTAGTAAACATTAGTAAAGTGTTATATATTTTGTCATGAATTTGAGGAAAATAAAATATTATTTTTAATTTTTCAGTTGTTTTTATAAGAATATTTTTTATAAATAATCAATAAACATATTTTTTACAAAGTAATAAACTTTAAAAGTATTATATATTTTGCTATGAATGATAAAATAGTAAACATTGAAAAATATTATATATTTTATTATGAATTTATAATAAAATATATATGGATAATATTTTAAAAATATTATATAATAAATTTTGTTTATATTATAATTAGCATTAACAAATTTTATTTTATGAAATTATTAATTCTAATATTATTGTATTTGAATTCATTTAAAAAATAAAACATAACATATTTATGGACATAAAATATACAATGACATATCATGTAATTAGTCTAGTAATCTAAGTGTTTTTAAAAAAATTAGCTGAAAATGAATGTGGGGTTGACACATCAACATAATGGCACTACTGTAAATACTTACAAAAATAAGGTTATTCTTTAAGAGTGCTTCTCTTTTAATATATAAGAGATATGCAGTACTCTTTTTTTTTGGGTCAAATAATATATAGTACTTGGTTAAGGCAAGGGTTTGGCATATCTTCATGACTTTATTGATCCTCCAAAGCTCCAATCATCCACAGAAACATCAAATCAAGTAACATCGTACTTGATGTCTGACTGCAAAGATTGCTGACTTCTGCCTTGCAAAACTTTTGGAAAACCCTGAGAAAGGTCATGTCACACAAGTACACAACTCTAGTGCAAGGAACTATGGTGAGTCCTCTTTTTCTTTCTTTTTCTAAAGTGTATAAAATCATAATATTATATATACAATATTCTCTGAGATTATGGGTATCTAGATCCTGAGTATTATTTGACGTTTGAGCTATCGAAAACGAGTGACGTGTGTTCGTGTGCATCGATGCTTGAGCTGTTAACGGGTAAAAGTCCGACATATGAAAGCAAAAACGTGGGGAGAATAGTAAAGATGAAGATGGATATATAGATCAAGTAACTTGTATGACATGCAAGACTTGCTGGACACAACAATCATTGCAAGCAGCGGGGTCTGTATGTTGACATGGCCCTGAGATGCGTAGAGGAAAAGGGACTCGCAGGTTTAAGCCCTAATATAGATTCAGCATCGACTTTGAGTGCATAGAGATGGTTGAAGCTCTGTGGTTTGATGAGACGGGTGTTTACGAACTTTTTGTTATCGCCCTCTGTAACATCTCTGTAGCAAAAAGAAAAAGATACTTGTTAGACTCACATAACTTGTGCTGCATCAATTATGCATACATATTTTCCTTTTCCGTGATATTTCAAGTTGGTTGTATTACCAATCAATATTTTGTATGGTATATATATCGTTTAATGAAGTCCGATTTAGTTGGGTAAATAAAGTTGTATATACACTTTCGTATTTAAATTTTCGAGTTTGAAATTTGACCAAACGAGAAATATTAGCATATAAAACAAACGATAAACTTCACAACCATCAAGCTTTGATCATGCATAATTAAACCTTCTATGAAGAGATTCGATAAAATCTAGTGTATATGGTATGGACTTTTACCACGATCATACATATGCCAAATATACTTCATAAAACAATTAATATGCTAACGATCACTTGCATGTTGTTGTATTCCTTCCTCGTACGTTATACTCATTTTATTTTATTTTTGATCTACGTACACACTTACTCTTTTAGCGTAATTTGTTATTACGTGTAAAGTACACACTTACTCTTTTAGCGTAATTTGTTATTACGTGTAAATGATATTTTGGTATTCTTTTCTTATACACTTAAAAGTGCGTTTTTCAAAATTTAGAAAAATAAATACATGGGTCAATATTTTTTTTATAAAATTCAAGGTATATATCATATATTGTTTTCGTTATATTACTTCCTCTTTGATGTTTTCGTTATATATTGACCCAAGGCCGACTATGATGTGATTGGGTACAATGACCAAACACGTCTTTATTTAAAACCGCTGTTAAAAACTTCCAAATGCTACAAGAGACTATGAGATGCAAATGCAAGTTAATCAGTTTAGTTATAGATATAACCAAATAGATATGAGCAACTTTGTTTTGCCAAGGAAAGCTAGATTATATATCCACATTCTTATGTTTGCTTTCAATCTTCAACAATTCTTGAGTCATTGCGATTAATTACATCCGAAAAAAAAAGAACAAAAGCATGTCTTACAATGAATACACAACCTTGCCTCTTGCTTGCTTAGATAGTGCCTCTAACGCTACATCAACCGCGTCCGGCAAATCGTAATTCGTAGCATTTGGGTGCGCATAAGTCATTCTCGGGATCAAACCAATGATTGTTTCCCTCATTTGAACCACCTCGCTCTCCGAGATCCTCGAAAGCTCATGTTCTATTTCAGTGCTGTTCTTTTGGCCCATAAACACCGAGTAGCTTCTTCTGTCTTCCGGTAGATACCACATGTACTGTGTATACATAGTGTGTGGTGAGAAAAACACCGGTATGCACCCGGCTAACATTGCATCGAAAGTTGACCTGCGTGTGAATGAGTCTCCTGGTGCTTGTAGGCAAAACCGTGACCGAGCCATCACTCCTAATACCGTCATCGGGTCGTGGCAGCTACATTGACCAAATATAATTAAGGTTAGAAGAAATGGCTAACAAACACGCTTCTAAACTTTGTAAATGTACGTACGTATATATTGAGTCGTGTAGATCAAATTAATATATTTTCTGATGAAGACAGTTAAAACAAATACACAAAACACTTGGAATATATATAGTAGTTGCAGTGCTAATTTTTTAGTTGAGTAACTTGAGAAAGTTAACCAATGAAATTTTAATGTAATAAAGTAACCGACTGTGGCAGTAGTTGTCAATAAATAGTGTTGAAATTGATGATTATGGACCCCTTTATATTATTGAAATTGAGGTCCAGAGTAAATAAATTGTCATAAAGGTAAAAAGAAAAAATGTATCTAACCTGGTCCCGCCACTTTCACACTTGAGAAGCTCACAACGGCTCGAGCCGGCGCATTGCCTGATCAGCTCGTCTCTGATCGCTGCTTTCTCCAAACCTTTCCTCTTCCCACCGACAAAACTAAACAAGTGTGGCCTCTCAACACTTCTCATCTCATTTTGCCACGTCACCATCTCTGCTGACGTGTACGGGTGAAAATAAGAAGGATACGGTATACCAAACTGATTGTCACCTTCCCACGGTTGCCTTTCCACAGTCAGCACCGACATATTCATGACAGGTGGCATTTGCATGAGTATGTTTGCTCCAAAGTCAGTGCCTGCCTCATCACTAGATCGCATGAAATCCCAAGCCGTTCTCCCAATCGCCAAGAAATGATCTCGACCGTTCGTTCTCTTCCACCATCGTTGACCACTCACGTAGTCTACTAATCTAACGGCTAGCTCGTCGCGCTTTGTTAGGTTGTGTTCTCGGAACACGCTTGAAGCGTAGAGCCCACCGTAAAACGGAACGTAGAATATGTCGGCATTGCTTGGCTCCCACGTGCGGCACGGGTGGTTTTCAACACGTGCGTGGAAGATCATCTCGGCTATGAACTGGTGCGTCGCGAACCACGTTTTGCTCTCGCCGCCGCCGCGGCGGATAGGTTGTCCGAGGCCGTTGTTGGCCACGTGAGGGCACATGTCGGTGTAGATGTTCAAGTTCCGGCAGTTTTGGAGGAGGTTGGTGTTGAACTCTTTGGGAAGATCGTAGACGTAGACAGTGAAATTTTTGTCGCACGTGCGAGGGAGTAATGACGTTGTTTGTGGTGGAGATGTGAAGGGGGAAAGGAGAATTAGGAAGAGGAGACAAATGGAGCAGAAGAGAAGAAGAGTGGGAATTGTTAACTTGAGGGTTTCTCTGTTTTTAGGGTATTTTTCCTTTTCTTTTTCCGGCCATAGATCGATCTTGACATGCTTCTTAGTGTAAGACATGGCAATTGGAGAGATCGGGAAAGAGAAATATTTTGGTGAGAAATGGTGAGAAATAGTGAAAGAAAGAGCGTTACTTTGATTGACGGTGGAACACGATATTTTGGGATGATTGTATTAAATGAAAGAAAGGCGCAAACACAGAATATTTGTATGCTGTTCCTGCGTTATTCGCGGAAATAATGAGATTAGCAATAGTGAAATTATTGAATAGTCCAATAATTTAATAGCACAAATAGTGGAGATTTAACAGATTTTTCATAGGATATAAACGTTAAAAAGGCTAGTTTAATTTTGAGAACTATTTTTTTCTTTTTTTAGTTATATTATTTTACTCGTCCAAAGTACATATCAAAAAATTAAGCAAAAAAAGTACATATCAAAATTAATTTTTGAAAATATGAAAATCTAGATGAATGTTCTAAATAGTACAAAAAGGCTTGTCTTTTGCCATCACCAACACCTGTTTAGAAAAATATATATAAAGATTAGCTTTGATCATGACAAATTAATACAAAATATTATCTACAGAAAACAACAGGTGAGATAATTTGTTGGTTATCAAAATTTAGAAATGCAAATGGTGGCTAGCAAAGAAAAATATTCTGAATAGTACAAAAAGGCTTGTCTTTTGTCATCACCAACACCTGTTTAAAAAAATAATAACATAAATTAGCGTTGTCATCATGACAAATTAACAAAATATTATTTACAACAACAACAGGTAAGATAATTTGTTGGGTATCAAAATTTAGAAATGCAAATGGTGATGACTAGCAAAGAAAAATACAAAGGAACGCAAATGGGTAATGTAAAGGACAAATTGGTAAACGAATATTGCTGACAAGAGACCATGTTAAACGAAACTCTTACAAAGATTATAATATTTAATTCCCGAGAGTTTTCTCTTCCAATAGTCTTAATTTAATTAATCAAAATAGTAATGTTTTACTAAGAGCATCTCTAACCTTACTCCATTTTCTACTCCAAAAATTATTTTGGAGTAAAATGTTTTCCAACCATACTCTATTTTCAACTCCAAAATAAAATAAACTTAAATTATATTCCATATTTGGAGTATATCTAAACTCTACTCCATTTTAGAGTTAGACTTTTCTATTTGCAAATTAATCATTTAGATGTATAATAATTATATTTTATACTATTTAATATTTATAAAAAATATTATAAAACTGATAATTATAAATATTTAAAAAATGAAATTATTCCTAAAAATTATAAAATATAATAAACTTTAAAATACATAATAAGTATTGAAATTAAGATAAACAATATACAAAAAACATTAATGATAAAAAATTTAGTAATAGTAATGTTTAAATAAAAATTTCATATGCTTTTTGTGATGTTATATAATTTTTTATTATTTGATAAATATTTAAATTGTAGTTTTTGAAAGAAATTGTAAATAATAAAATAAGTAGAATTTATTTGTAAAATTTAAAACTACAAAAATATTTATAATAAAATCGAATAAGAATCTGTTTAGAATATTCCCTTTTTGGAATAGAAAATATAGAAATACATTAGAGCAAAACACAACTCCATTTTGGAGTTACTCTATTTTAGAGTGAAAAAATGAAGAAATACATTGGAAATGGTCTAATACAAATTGATTTCTGGCTTCTAAGTGTCGAATGTAATTTTGTAAAAGGAAATTAAATATCCTATTTTTTACAGATATTATATGCATTGAAATTTTAAAATAAAAAGTTCATTATAACATTTGATCTAAATAACTAAATTTTGTTTTAATGCCTCTAGTTTTAAGATTTTCATGTATATTTTTTGTCATTATGGACGTATTCATGAATGATGACATTTCTTAGTAAACGGCATCAACATCCATTAAAGCCCATTCTTCTGTGTTTCCTAAATTTGAGGCCTTCAAAGTTGGGGCCTCATTGGTTAAGAATATACTTCATATTTTCCTACGTATCCTTTCAGCCATTCAGCAAGACAAGTCTAGCATTGCTTTTTCCACTCGGGCTTTGTTTTTTTTTTTTTTGACAGCAGTACTTTTCGGATTTAAGAAAATTGGATATAAATTTGGACATTCAGTTTGTTACATGTTTATGGCCTTTTTATTCAAATGTTATTTGAGTTTCTTTTCTACTAAATCTTTATAAACTGAAATTTTTTTTATCATTATTCCAATACAAATCAAGTGGTTTAAGAATTAATGACAAGTCTCTCTCTTTGAAAAAGAGAAAGATCCCCCTAGTATTTTAATTGAATACATGAATAAAAGGTAGGATTCATAATTATTTATAATTGGATGTAGTTTATAATTACTTTTTTTAGAAATAGCCGCCCAACAAAAAAATATTACTTAAACTTTTTATCTTCATTCATAATTAACATAATGAAATCATATTTTTTTGTAAACCCTACTTGGAGACTATACTAAAAAAGAGATCTTATACGGTCAATAAATACGACAACACTAATACTTGAACATCATGGTTTTGTGTATATTTCATTTGGTATGTATTAGACAAGATTGAGTGTATCAATAACTGAATCATATTATATATGCACCAAACTATATATAATTTCAAATGGTTATTCATTTGGATTAATTTAATCGAGACAATCAAAATATTTCATTTAATTTTTGATGCATGAAAAACTAGAATAATTAAAAGTTTTTAATTACTTCGTTTTCATGATCTCATCTATTGTTTGGTGTTGCTAAATGGAGTAAATTGTTTTATGAGAGTTCTGTGTGCTTCAGAAGAAAGCAAATGAGAGATAATTAATAAAAAACAATGAGGCAATTATTATTTTTTGTTAAAGGAGAATAGAGTAGCATGGTTGCATGCGGCAAGGCTACTATAGCCGTATAGGTCTATTATAACGACTGTTTCAGATTTTGAGATATCAAAAAGGAAAATCTCTTCTTTCCTATTTTCATATCATAGGTATAGCTAGGTAAATAGCATAAAATGTTGCTGCGACTGATATTAATATCTACGACGTACTTCACTGTAATTTACATTATTTTTCATCATTGTTTTTTACATAGGTAGAAAAGTAGTAACATAAAACCAGGTATAGAGATATATATTGTACTTGAGTTAAGAAAAAAAAGCGAAGATGTTTGTCCAAAAAAACGAAGATACATTGTACGGTTTGACAAGGGCGTATATATGCATACACATAACCTAGCTCCTACTAGACTTCTAGTCCTAGCTTCAGTAGAAGCAGAAAGATACAAAATCTTGAGTTATATCAATAAATATTTTAACTCACAATGATAACAACAACTCGGTCTATTTTAGCTTTAAACTTTAACTCAAAAATATTTATGAATACTACATTTAAATGAGTAGAACATTTGATACCATCATCCACTAGAACTACAAGTTGATATGAAGTCCCACGTGACTACATTATATAAAGTTTAAAACAATTTTCCAGTAACAAATTTTCATAATTAATTTTGTGAAATACAGACATATGCATTACACCAGAGAAACGAACATGCATGTAATTTAAATGTAAATGCAAATGTGAAAAACAAATATTAAGGCAGCAACTTTAAACATTCTTCTGTTGCTTGGACTGCACGACGGTCCAGAGTGTTTTGAATCGATGACAGTGTAGATTGATTGCTATTTAACAGTCAGCTGCAACATTTTTAGTGTAGTTCTGAGCCTATCACTAGCCCAAATCACACCTAGCTACATCAATACATATTAGATATATGTATTTACCTATACGTATTGCATATTTAAGTATGTATGTATTTATACGTGTAGATATGGTAGATAACGGACGTCGAATCCCGAGATAAATCGGAGGAAAGGTACGGGACGAAAACGTTTTTGCTTGACGGATCTGTCTTTGCGTGTGGTGTCTTTTGGCTTTAGCGATGCGAAAGATTTGTGATTAGTTAAAGTTGTCTTTACATTGCTCTCTCTCTCTCTCTCTCTCTCTCTCTCTCTCTCTCTCTCTCTCTCTCTCTCTCTCTCTCTCTCTCTCTCTCTCTCTCTCTCTCTCTCTCTCTCTCTCTCTTTTTCTTTGTCTTAACCGTGACTTGTTCACATCTTGCGTTCGTGTTTCAAGTTTTTAGCTTTCTCTATTTCTCAGTTGAAATATTAATATTTTATTGTCACACCCGCTAGTTCAATTTTTTAGAGTAAAGCGCTTTATGTTAACTTGTATTAGGAATTATATGATACACCGTTGTCTAAGAAAACAGTTAAAATATGGAATTCACTTTGAAAACGTAAAGTCTTATATTCTTTTCGATCATTAAAAACATAAGAAAAAACAAACACACAATGTGTGTTATAAACGGCTACTACTTGATGATACTTTATAATAAGAAATTATGATCCAACTTATTGATACACCCGTATATTAGATTGTGTCTTGAGGGGTCGGGATCGGGAATCAACCATATAGTATATAGATGACATATCGACTAGATCAATATTTGTATTTCTATTAGTTCACTTGTCAAACGAAATTCTTACTAATCTTAAAATTGGTAATAAATTATGTTTTTCTTTCAAATAAACCGTTTATAATGGTAAAGAAATTTGAAGTGAATGAACTTCAGCTATATTTCAACTTTGTATGCAAAATATAATAATAATAATTTATCCGTTTCTTTTTATAATATTTTTTGAAAGTTTTGTACTGTTTCGGTTTTTTTTAAATTTATTTTCTTTTTTTGTGGCAATTTTCACTATAATAGCTGTATATTTTTTTGTCACTGATTGAATTATTTTAGTTAGATATTATATAATATATATAAAAGGTACAAAAATGTAGTTTGTGTATTTTTCATAATTTTTTAACCAAAACCCTTGTATAAAAAATATCGGGAGTAACAATATATAGCATATTAGATACTAAAAAAATACTTGCAAAAGTATCTCTACATGTCACAAAAATTGTAGATAAGAATGTTAATTAGGTTCAAAACCCTTAACTTAACCCAATCTAGTTCTGAGAAGACATAATTCAGATTAAAATACCTTTTTTATAATTCAGAATATATCACATATCTATAGAAGGGTCCAGATTAATCATCTGAGGATAAGCAATCTAATTCTTTTTCCGGATATTCAAATGGGTCGAAGCAAAAACCCATATTCGTATGACCAAATGAGAAATGTTTAATAATTTCATACTTGAAGGGAAACGATCCCTGAACTAAACCACCAAGACAACTTTTTCTCAAGTGGAAATCACTAAATTACCATCACTTGATTAAGAATCAAAATACTTAAATCTGCGAAAACATCAGGTTTTGGAGTTACAACCCATTGGATAAAGCTTAACCACTTGTTGGATAGAAGCTTCTATCGGAAAATCCGTAGCTAAAATTGACATGAGTAACCGATGTAACGTGTAAAACAAAATATAGGCTACGTACGTAATGTCGTGATCCCACTTGTTGGTCATTTAATTTTGCATACCCAGTATATTACTGTATTAAGCCAAATGCATAGCCATTGTGGCTACGGAAAAAATTATGGTTAATACGTGCATGTGTAGCCAATTGGCCACAATAAAATAGTTTCTTTTTTTGTATGTGCTTGGCCACATAAGTTGCTAAAAACAGTTTTCTTGTGATGATCAGGATATAGACATATAGTTAATATACATACAATAATATTGTGGATCAAAAGAAAAAAAAACATATATTGTGGATGAGTGGATCAAATAAGTATATAACACCTCTCAGAAAAAAAAAAGTATTTAGCATAGTACATTTATATATATATATATGCACTCAAAGTCTCAAACATTTCAACATGACAACCTAAAAGTGTAATAGGTGCTTTGTTATACGGCGCTGCCATGGAACTATTCACAGCTCTTTCGCCAACATTTTATATCATTTTATATTATTTGGTCAACATTCTTTGGAGTTGACATCACTGGTGAGAATAAAATCACGGATTAAACAAAGGAATTATATAATTATAAAATATATATACATAAGTAGGATTGGCTGAAGCTACATAAGAAAAATGTCCAATCAGGTCGGGTCGGGCTACTGATAGACCGGTTTGGGTTAACTATATATAGCGAGACAAATATTTTAAATTTGGGGGCTGATTAATGTGATACCTTCCATCTCAAGTCAAATCCAATTTTATTACTTTGATTAGCTAAATATGTTTCAATAAAGAGAAACGGAATCTGAGAGAAAAATGAAAAATCAATTGGGTCTAACATATTGGTAACTCACTGAAATCATCACAAACAAAAATTATGAAGAGAGTGACATATAATGGAATAATTATTTTTGTTATTTTAAATTGATTAAAGAAAAAAATGTGGCTAGTGAAAAAAAAATCAATCAAATAATGTTATTCTGCAAGTTATCAATTAGACCCGAAACTATAGAAATTGATGAATACCAGTCTACTTTTGTAGAACAAAACTATTGAAAAGTATCATTGTTAGATGATTTTGCACTTTTTGCACCTAATCATAATTCATAACCCATCCGAGACTGTATGATTTATTTCACATGGCGAACTACGTTACAATTTATGATCACCATAACTATAATTAAGATTTACATATATATAGTACGTGTAGTATACATATCAACAAATAAGTTTTCGATATGTATTTATATATGTGCATGTGTACCATTGTATACTACATATACGTAGACAGTGAGTGATTTGTACCCACCACACGTTGCTTCGTACGTAGAGACCCATCCCTTTTGTTTCCATTACTTACATATGCTTCTTTAAATAGGTGTCCGTACGGTTAAACAATGCTAGATAACCCATATGACATCACAAAACCAATGAAACATGTTATGACGAGGCTTGACCAAATTATGTTTGGCAGATCAAGTTAGAGATTCGCCCACGTCTCTCTCTCTTTCAGCCCCCTAACCACGTATAAAATACCTCAAGACACATGCATTTTCATATTAATTAATTCATGTAACTTCTAGAAATCACACTCTTTATTTATTTTAAATCATCCAAAGGAAATGATTTGTTTATTTATTTATAATCTTCAAACGAAGCCAGGTACACTATGGATGTGTTGTACAACATTTATTTCTTTTGTTACACAGTTTGCTATCGCCCGTGTCTGATTCGTTCAGGGTTTGCAAAGGTCCCTTCTTTTTGTCAATTATTGTTTAAAGTAATAATAATAATTCGGCAAAACTCTGCATAAAAATTTAAATGTTAGTGTCGAATCATAATTTATTTTGTATAGTGGCACTGACTCAACCGGTATAACTAAAAAGTACGAAATTTTCTTGATATATCCTAATACGATTTTCTCGACAAAACAATTTTATTGTCGACAAAATCATAACTTACTTTTATTTTATTAGGGAGTAATGAATAAATTAGCTGATTATTCATAACCAACAAAAAAGTTGCATGTAATGAGGCCTAAATAGTGGTGATTATGTGTATGCGAGAATGGAGTTTTAATTTTTAACCAAAAACAAAATTGTTGCATGTAAAGGAAGGGGCCTAAATTGACCAATATCAACGTTGTGAGTTATTTTTATAGAAATAATTATTTTGTAACGAAAATATATATTTTAAAAAGAAAAAGAAAACAAAATGGAAGTAGTATAGTTGATAGAAACTAGAGTGCAGCTAAAAATGCAAATGGGAAGTTTTACTAGTTAGGGGAAATCAGCTGGCATCTAACGGTCTCCATCTGGATCTAGTTACTTCCTGTTTACACTTTTATAACTATATGTATATATTATGTTATATATGTATATTTGGAATATCCTTTTTAATTTTGATTTTGAACAAACCAACCAGCAAAACCCACAAACCAATTCCCTCCAATCCCCAATCCTCATTAGCTAGCTTCAGGCCAAAGTAGCTGAGAGTTGTAGATGAGCTCAGATAAAGGCTGTTCCAATCTCACTACACATTGTATCATATACTATGAACACAATCTCTCTCTACACTCTCTCTCTCTCTGACCCATTTGTCCGGTTCCTCTGTCCTCTCGTTGTTATCTATATTATATATATTGCGAATTCTTTATTTTTTTTCCCTTAGATTAATCACTTCGCTTGTGTATCCATAAATGGAAACTTTGTTAAACGTTCACCTTTTAATTTATATCCAATAGTACACACACCCCACTATGGTCCCTCTTATTTCCTAACTTGTTAACTTTACTCTTAAATGAATTGATTCAACATCATTTGGCATCTGCGATTCAGTACGATAATTTTTTATATTTTGTATTCATTCCGCACTAAAATCCAGCACAATTTAATCATTAATCCTAATAACTTGATAAAACACATAAACCAGTTGAGATTAATTCGATTCTAATAATTAATTATTTCAACTACAAAACGAGAAAGAACAAGAAAAAGACAACAAACGGGCCATTTGGTAATAACACACGTAGGATCCATGGCGTTTGGACAATTCAAGATCCAACAAAATTACAAACAAATACCCAAGAAAAGAAAAGCAGAGAAAATATGTTAAAACTCAGAGCGAGTGATGATGATCTTGAAACCGGTTACCGGGTAACCGAAGAGACTGATCCAAACGCTGCCGTGTAGCGTCAGCATCACGACCTTGTGGCGGTTCGAGCGGCGGGGCCGCACGGATGCTGGTGGAGCCACGGCTAGGGAAACCGGTCTGATCAATGGGTGCACCAACGCAAGTGTAGCTCGATCCCACGGGACCATCGGCCATGTAATTAACGGTTGTGGTGGTGGGGAGATTAGGGTTTGGAGAGATGCTTCTGCTGCCTCGAAAGGATTGGCTTAAGTAGTAATCGTTGATGTGATTGTGAGGAGAGTATTGGTTTGAAGTGTATGGATATGGCGGTTGAAGCGGTTGGGGAGCCAAGTTTGTTGAGGAGTTTCCGGCATATAGCACTGGTGATGAGTAAACCGACCGGTACATTGTTGGATCTGCGGTATGATACCTGCCAGTAATTTTAATTATAATTAATCTCCTCAATCATATGATGATCGTTATAACAAGCAAGCAACATTTGTAAACATATACGTCATAATTTGAAGTTCTAAGATGAATAGAAAGAGTACCCGAAAGGCGTAATTCCAGGTGGGGTTAAGGTATCGTTACGGTAGACCAATTGACGAGCTTGATTCAATGTCTCGGTCTCCCTCTCTTTAAGTTTATGGAACCAAAAGAAAAAAAAGGACATTTAGCTATGTCTTAAATGCAAATTAGCTACTATCTACAAGTTTAAAGTTGTAGTCAAAGCATGGATGTGACAACAATCACTCACCAGAGACAAGATTTTTTAAAAATTGGGTTTTATATGTTTGCACGAACTAAAAAGTGTGAATGTGAAATGTGGATTATATGAAAGTTAAGTAGACATGCCTTGTCGGTGGCGATTCATGTGGCCACCAAGAGCTTGGGATTTGCAGAACTTGAGTGAACAAAATCGACATTCGTACACCTTACCGCTTTCATCTTTCCCTTCTTTACTTCCTTTCTTCTTTCTCTGACCTAATTACCAAAAAAAACTTTACATTAGCAATTTTACCACAAATGACTCTAACCGCTTTACTAATAGTATAATTAGAGATAACGTTAAAAATTAATTTCTTTCAACAATACGTATATATCTCCATGTTTCGTATACAACGTTAAAGAATTAGGGTTTTTCATGGGATTGCATACCAGAAGAAGAGCCTTCCTCGAGGGCTTGCTTATTGCCATCTCTAGAAAAATCATCTGGCAGATTGTTGAGGTCTAAGTAATTCTCCTCATGCCTCCTGCCAAAAAAAAAAAAATATATCAATAAAGATAAGGGTGAGTTAAAGACTAGGAAATTGGAAGAAATAATTAAGAAAGTGGTCTTTGTTTTGTGGGGCATATACATAGTGGGAAATGAGAGATTGGCGTGAGATAAGACTTCTCTAGAAGAGCTATTATAATTGAGAATATATATTCTAGAGGACTTTCAGTTGGAGGCTGCACCACAAAAGGAAGAGAAAAACGTAGAGAGTAGTAAAAGTTAAAGAAGAGAGGCTCGAAAGTTTTCTATCAGTTTATCTGCCACAAACCCTCCCATATCTCTCTCTCTCTCTTTCTTCTCTCTCTGCGTGTGGAAACTAAATAAACAAAGTGGTCTCGTGACCTTTAAAAGATAGAGGTAGTGTGAGCGTAAGGGGTTTAATTAAACCAGAGAGAAAGTGTTTGTGTTTGTGTTTGTGGTTTGTGTTTGTGTGAGTGTGCATGTTTGTGTGTGTGTATGTGTGTGTGATGAAAGAGAGAGATGAGAGGGACATTTCCTGAGTGAAAGGAGATGCTAGGGCTACTAGCCTAGAACCCTATTACTGTGCAATTAATTCATGTTAAAAAAGACAAATTCTAAATATTTTAAGAACTGTTTTTAAGAAATCAATAAGTTTTGGACTCTTTCCGTAAAGTTATATTCATACTGAAAATCAAAATAGACTACATAAATCTCCTTTCAACCTGTTAAATGGCATTTGTAAAATTACTTTTCTGTTTGTTTTATAACCAAGATGGACTTTGAAGCTTTTACTTAAAATTAATTTGATTTTTTTCCGACTGTGGGAATATTGACTATCTTATCATAACTCTTTAGAGAATCTGGCAATAAAAAGGGTTATGAATTATTCTCTGAGTTGATTAAATAAACCTCAAAATTACACACATAATGCAAGGAAACGTTAAGTGTAAGTTACACTTATTTAATTATGTTTAGTTTAATATAAAGCGTCTTAGAAGAAACAAGAGTAGTACTTTTTGAACAATGAATTAAATGTGGAAAGACACATCTAGCGAATCATTGTCTCTTGATAAAGAATCTTTCATGAATAGTTTGCAGCTTCAAGATGGTCCTTGATGGACTTGTGATCCTCACTTAAACACACAGAGGAAAGAACAAGTAACTAAAAGAGAATAGATTTTATACTTTTAAGGACAATCCGAGACATGGGTGGTTCTATGGTCCTGCTGCTTTGAACATTACGTTTTGAGAAGTTTTACAATAAATATTTGTATATAAATGTAAGAAAAATTGTTAGCTAGTAATGGTCCCCCATTTATAGATGTAATGTAATGGCAATAGGCCTCCCCTGGGGCATCCACATCAATTTTATTTTTCTTTCAAATTGTTTTTTGTACCCTAGGGTTTTGCAAATGGGACATGCAAGTGTTGCTATCACATAACTAATTATTAGGCTCCTTTGTGATCTAAGTTGGATATGCATGTCTTCTATATCCCTATCTTCCCATCACATTTTTAAATCAATATTACCATCATAGTTTCTATATCCCTATCTTCCCATCACATTTTAAAATCTATATCCCTATGCTATGTAAAACTTCATCCATAAAAATTGAAGAATATCGAAGTAAACTAGTGTCTGTTTAAGAGACATTTTCACTACTTGAAAGTGCACTGATGAGAGTGTATTTTCACAGTCACGGAAGCGTGCGAGTCACGTGTGAAGTGGCTTACAGGTCAAAACTTCAAAAACTCGAAAAAGGTATGCTTGTGCCGACCTACAATGGAAAAAAAAAAGAAAGAATATTTTGGTCCAAAAAGTCAAGCCTAACTGCGTTATTTCACGGCGTTTATGTTTATCCAATGTAATAAGCAGTATGAATGGTGACGGGACGGAGATTTTGATAATCTCGAGTTCATCAAATCAAAACCAATGCGAAGCCCAATCATAGTCGACACTAGCTACCAATATCTTTTATTTTGTCGTGATTTTGGCCATTTAGTTGCCAGTTTTTTTGCCCGGTTTCCCAAAATAAAAATAATATAAAAATGTGGCCGTTTTCGACTATTAGTAATGAGATATATATATATATATATATATATATATATATGCAAGTATGCAACCATAATAAGAATTTAGGTTGTCAACAAATGTGTAATCTCAACAACAACAAAATGTTACAATCTATAATAGTCTAATAGTTGAATAACTCATAATGAGATTGTTGTGATTTATATCATACTTAACTAATGTAAACGTTTTTAATAGCAAAAATATACGGATCGATCGAGATATTAGCTTTGATTTCGATTCATGATCCCTCGATTGTAATAATAATAAAAAAAATGTTTTGGTCAGTATAAATAGACATGAATATAGAGAGTACACATTCGAGCCAGGGGCTGATTAATTAAAGTGATAATGATGAGGGCAAGAAAGATATCTCGAGGATTTGTGCATAGTACTTATGATCAGTGGGAACAAAACAAAAAGAAAGGTGGAGAGAGTGAGTGATGAGAGAGAGAGAGAGGGATCAGGTGAGAGAAGGACCACACTACTACTCCGAGACTGTCACGGCTAGTAAGCTAGGACTTGCAATCTCTCCCTCTTCATGTAACATCTGCAACTCTCTTTCGGACAATCATACTTTTTACTCCTTTCTCTTACGTGGTCCTTCCCTTTCTTTTTCATTTTCACATTTTTTCTTTTTTCTTTCTTTCTTTGATATATCTTTTATCAATATTTGAGATGAAGATTACACAAACTCGTGTATCAAAACTTCATGATAGAAGCAGTATAATGATCAACTGGTTTTTTCGTTCCTGTCATAAATTGTATTCCGCATGCAAAAACAACAAGAAGCAGTATAATGATGATGTAAAACAAGTTAACAAAAGTTTAAAATATGTAAATAGTCTTTGATAATGTTTAGCATTAACACAAGACCTTAGTATCCGAATAACCCAAAAAACTAAGAGATTAGATCTTCTAAGTATGAAAAATATGGCAAAACCTATTCATAAAGAGAATTTTATAAAAAAAAATTCTTGAATTGCCTTTGATTCTGTTAATTTTGCTTAGTTACACATGAAAGGATGAAGAGGTTCTTATAGCCTCCCAAACTACAAATATATTTTAATCGTAATCTCTAAATCTAGAAATGTGGTTTAATTTTGATCCAATTACAACTAATTTCATCATGAACCTAAAATTTAATTTAATTTAAAATAAAATTTAACTATATTACTTGTTTGATCCATTCTTACCTGATCTTTGAATGGAGTAATTGGAAATGGGGTGGTTTTGGCAGTAATTTGGGGAAGATGTTTGCAAAGGTGCCCTCGATTTGATCCTCCTCCATTCATAGTTATTTTTTGCCACATGACTTAAATTTTTGTCTTAGTCCCTACACTTTCGTTATAATCTTCGAGCAACCAACTTTACTTTAAACATATCAAATGATCCCATCAACTTTATGTGTAGATAGTTCCTCTAGTTAGTTCCATCTCGATCAAATCCAAACTCCTTACTTCTTTGATCTAACAAAAAATTGATATGCCATTCGATTGTTTGTGATGACCATAAAACTTTGATACCACTTGTAAGGAAACTATCAAGATTTACCGTACCAAACTGCTCTCGCACTTCACAATCATTCAATGGATATGGTTCGAAAATAACATAGCACGCAAACATATTTTCAATTTTTCATGAATACATCTCGGCTGAAGACTCAACAATCAACTACCTTTTTTACAAGAAATGATTCATAAGGGAGAACAGAAAAGCTAGAGCAAAAAAATACAAATATGTAAAAATGCTTTAACATAGTCAACAGCAACCAATCTTCTTTTAATTTGAGTTTTACTTAATTGCAAATATGCTAAATAATCAACAGTCCAAAATCTTCTCAAAGATGTTTAGACAAGATAATGGAGGATTAACTGAATTAGTCCAATAACCTCCTAAGCTCGCACCTAAGTTAACTGGGCCTAGTGGCTCGCTGCATTCCACCATACTTTTGTTCCCACATAAATTATGACCCTCTTTAATGCAACAATTCTGGCGAATATCGGTTGAATTTTGAACAAGAAATAATACATTCGAGCGAAGCCCGTTTCACTTAATGGACCATATCAATGTCAATAAAATCCCATATTTGATTTTGCAGCACACGTTTTCTTTGTCAAAATTCGAGGAATGGTTTAAACAAGAATACGCGTACACGAAGTTGATGCTACATGAAACACTCACGAATATCTTTAGTTAGCAATCATATAGAAAATCAAGACTATTCTGTATTTTATGATTTATCTTAGATTGAGGCAACAACAGCAAAAAAATGTGATAAATAACTTCATAAAACGAAAACCATGAGAAACACAAATGGGCTGGTAACACAAATGGATCCCATGAGGCCATGATCCATCTAGTTGTAATTTGATTCCCGGTATCAACTCTTTTTAAATGGGCGTGCAAACCCACTGGGTTGCTTGGAGAAAAATAATACAAGATTTATGATTCTTTTCTGGCCAATTATTATTTAATGTAAAAGTGATATTTCTGTAATAAACATTATCTGTTTACATATGTATAAAAATATAGTAATCTGAGAGGATAAAAGTATATGTAGCCAGATTGAAGATATGCTCATCAAGTGGGGGTGTGATACTGAGGGGACCCATAAATCAAAGGCAATATACGCTGACGATTATTCATTACAAAAAAAGAGTTATAACCATTTTATAGTTTTAATTTTATTTGTTAAAATAACAACTGGTTGGTCCTGAACAGGCACACTTGACAAGTGCCGCGTCGGATGGAGATCGGAATAACTCAATAAAGCAATAGAATTATAGTAGTACTAGTTTAGTGAGACTTTTTGATGATGAATTAGCTTAGTAATCATAGACATTTATTTAGAGTTCAAGTAAATAGTTAGATGGAAAATTCAAAATTTAAAATAAATTAAAATTTTGCACATTTTTATTGATTTTGTTTGTCTCGGCCAAAATATCAAAAGTACAACAAAACTAATATATTATTAGAATAAAAATATTTTTAGTATTATGTTGAGTTATTGAAAGGGTTCATCTTATTTTGTTATAATTTTATTTGACATATACACAATGTAAGATTTAATGATAAGCTATATAAGTTTTTAAAAAGTTTAAATAATCTTTTAGTATTTATATTAATAATATCGCTTCTTATATTAAATAAAATATGTGTGTGTATAGAAAGAAACAAATGCAAACGAGTCCATACTACTTGAGATATTTTTCTTTTGATGAGTGTAGTAAATACGTGTTCGAGAGCAAATTTTAAAATATTCATACAGAAAATTTTAATAGGTGGGTAAATTTGTTGGGGAGATTCGAATTATGAAAGGAAAGGTTAATTTGAAATACACTGAAAGAAGTGGACATGGTAAATGGAAAAGAATTGTCTTTTCGATTGTTCTCTGACACTTAAAGTTATAATAAAACAAGAAACTGGTCAAGAGAATACAAGATATCGAAAGAGCGAAAATGGAAGAATTGCTTTATCAATTCTGAATAATCTTGACAAAGTTTTTTAGGTAATATTTTCAGCTAAAAGATGAATTTATCTTTCTAGATTTTCTCTTCTTTTTGTCGTTGGTATAAAAAAATATTTATAGAAAATATCTGGTTGTGAGTTAGACATGGATCGGGAGTACATTCCCTCTGAGTCGGCTTCACGCTATTATCTGCTAAATCATCCTTCTCTACTATTTCCGAATTAACCGAACTCGCCCATACCTGCTGCTGAAAGAGGAGCAGTTAATCTGATCCGCTTTCTCCTAGCTATTATCATTATGGTCTATCTTAATAGAAGTAAAAACATTTATTACTTTTTGGGTTTCTGCGGTGTCTATTCTCTACATATTAAGTTTAGTGGATCGTAATGCAACTTTTGGCTCAACAGTAAAACTAAAATTACAAAATTTGTTAAAACATTAAAATGGAAATAGTTAAAACAAACTCTATTTATCAACAAATAAAATAAAAAGAACACTTATTGATTCATAAAAGGTGAACAGGAAACTCCGTTTTGAACAGCCTTAGTCAATATCACACAATGACATTATGCACACTCATATCATAAATTTATCATATTAATGGTTTGATTGTAGTCTTTAATTGGGCTTGAGACTTGTGAAGTATCAAAGAACAAGTCAAAAGAATATTTCAACGGCCCCTTGTACCTTTTTTTGTGAGCAACACATTGAGGATTAACGTTGATGTGAATGTGAATGTCGTTAACAAACGGTGGGATTCTAAGCCAATAATTTCCACACAAATAGCGAAATAAAAGAACAGATGCTTAGACGCTCGTTACATTACTCATGCTGAAAAAATTGAGATGAAAATGTATCTGCCTATCTTTGCTATTTTTAGAAATTAGTTCATTTGAACGTACAAGAAAACTTTAGATTGTCATAAAAGATAAAAATGGTTTTAATTGATTCATATAAGATGTGAAAAGGAATCTACCGTTTTAGACAGCCTTAATTAACATAACACAATGATATTACACATATTTATATTTAAAATATATCATGCTAAACCCTAAAATACATATACTAGAGGACTTCGATTGTAGTCTTTTGGGCTTTTGCACTAACAATGAACACTTTGCTAAAATACATTTCTTAACAATTGTATTTCTATAAAAACCTTCAAGGAAAATGTGATCAATTAAACTCGTATTTTTGTGATTGGTTTTTCCAAGGTATGTATGTAGTTGAGTGATGGGCAACTATATTAAAGTTTTAGTATAGAAAACGACATACTTATATAGCTCATAATTTCTTCTAACATAATGATTAATCACTCATTGCAATTTTGTGTATGCAGATGACATGGTGCCCGAGCTTTACCTACTCCCGGTTAACCACTCATTGCAATTGGCCAAGAGATCAGACCATAATTTGCCACCTTTGTAAGACTCAACTGAAACTCAAGGTACTCTTTCTATTAGAATGTAACATTAGGATCACACATATGGACATGATCACATACATATGGACACTCTGCACTTATGTATAGCTCCGTATAATGTTAATTAGGTTAACAGTCTCCTCATTATGATAAATAAAATATCCTGTTTGACATTCTATATGTAGTTAAAAAGCATATCTAAATGTTTATGGAAGAGAATAGGAAGACGCTTGTAAACTATAATGGCAATCCAAGAAAATATTTTGACATAGATCATAAATTAATTTTAATATAATTAAATAATATTATTGTTATGAAATAAATAAAAAAGTCTAATATTAATACATTGAATGCGATTCGAACTCAGATTTGAGAGGTTCAATAAAAGAAAATTAATCAACTAAATCACTTTTATCTTCTTGTTTAAGCTTAAAATTTTAAGATTTTATATACAATATAGGTCAGGTGACCTCCTTTTCCTCTACGTGGGTTCGCCCCTTACCAATGCAGCTCTTGACCGCTTGGGAACCACACAGACATGGTGGAAGATCGTGGACAATAGAGGTAACAACAATAATCAAACAACTTTGCATTAAAGAAGTAATGTCAAAACTAAAGACAAATGTTTGGTCATTTCACAGTTTTTAGTTTTTACTGTTGTAGCTCTTGTTCGTGCCATGGAAAGAAAGAGGCCATGGTGGAAGGAAAATCGTGGACCAGTATTAATAAGAGGTCATTTCTGTTTGGAAAATGTGCTTAACTGTAAACCTCAGCCTACGTAGACTAATTAAAAGAAGATAATGAAAGCTTGTTTGGATCCATAATTGGACAAGTAAAAACAAGCCAACAGCAATCAGTATGTATAAGTATTAACGGTAACTTCTAAACGTGTACCGTGAAACGCTAAAGTGAACACTCACACAAACGATCCAAATGCTCAATCATGGAACTAAGTCATACCAAGCTTTTTCTACCGTACACGTGTCTTATCTTAAAGCGAGTAGTTGACGAACTTGCGTGTGATTGAAGCAAGGCATTTCGCGTTTCAGGCGGTGAAGCCTCTCTGATATTTTCATGTTTTCGGCAGTAGATATCTTTTTAAAAAAGTTGGGATAAAAAAATGAACATTAAATACAATAATACTAGTATTTCATAGAAAATCGCTTGTACCGATGAGATTTCTCACGGGAGCAAGGGGACCGCTAACGTGGGTAGATGATAACAAATTGAAATAATTATGTTAAGTAAAGAAAATATTTTATTATTTTGTGTGACAGAAAAATAAAATATAATAATACTAAGGTTTAAGATCTACTGTAAGATGCCTCCCACACTCCGTCCCTTCCTTCCATCCATCGTTCATAATGAACATTTCCTGATTTTTTAAAATCATTTTTAGTGGTGGGACCTTTATGATCGATTGGAAATGCAAAGATAGTGGGAACTATAGTTTAGTAATTTAATATTTATTCATTCTTACACAAGATCTATGGTTTTAAATATTAAGTGTATTCACATGACAGTAATATTTTATGATTGTTGGCTAAAAATGCCGTAACTTTTTTTTTGTTTATCTGATTATTATTAAAAATTAAAGTTGAAATACAAGATAAAATATATGTTGAAATACTAAAATTGGCAGAATAATAATAAATTTCTGAAATAAAACTCAAATAAAAGAACTATAAGTTCAAACAAGAAGAACCAAATAATATTTAATACTAAAAAGAGATACTAGCAAGTTGAAAATGCAGTAGATTATGAGTAGAATTAGTTTGATAGATTAATCAAACTATACGTAGCTTCACACATTTAGAAGCTCTGAATTTATTTTTCTCAATTTTTAATGGTGATATAAAAATAACAGATATTATTTTTTTTATTTGTTTTGGTGATTACTTAACATACCCAATAAAAATACTGATGAGTACAATTAAAGTCATACAAAAATCAAGAAAAGTGATTAATAGCCGTCTTTCCTCTCCTGGTAGCGATTGTTGTTCCCACTAAAGTGATTTTGAGAGATGTAACTGTTGATGCCTAATTTACTCTGCTCAATTTCCGAAATATGACTAAAGATGTTTGTCTTTCACGTGATTAAAGTATTAAACACTGATTAAGCAAATCAAATGAATTTCAAACATCTATACTAGAGTCATACCAGACGTGAAATGTGAATCTAGGAAAGAACATACAAGAATACAAGAAAAATGTTAAGTATTGCACATACCATAACATAATGCTAATGTTCACTTGTATCTCGGAAGAATCAGTTCATTGGCAATTTGGCATTTGGCATAATTAGTTTGAAGGAGACCTTGATCCATCAATGATTGGTTATCGAGAGATGCAAGGTATTTTAACAAATCTGCAAAATCTGACGAAAATGATAAATACTTTTCTTAAATAAATTAATAAGTCTATATATAAAAACTTTAACTTGTACATTTTCTTTGATAATATTAATAATTTTCATTTTTTGTATGGACCTAAATTTTGTTTTGATGGGCATATTAATTATTTTTATATAAAATGGCAGATAAAAAACCTACAAATATATTGGTTTATACCAGTATTAATTTTGTGTTACTTTTTATAAATCATATTAATTTATCTGATGACATGATATTTTACATAATGTGTTTATATTAATTTATCAGATTAATATTTTTTGTTTATTGTAATATTTTTTGTTTTTATTGTACTATCATATTTAAAGTTTAAACTACAAAAAAAAATAAACACTATTCATTTACAATTTTACCATTGTGTGTTTGCATTTATGACCATAATCATCTGGCAAAATATCATTTTTAAAAACAACAAATTCTGCTCGTTAATTTTTTTGATTCAAATAAAACTCAAAATCGTTTTTTTAAGTATTACGTTGAAAAATGTAAATGTTAGTGCTTTGAATTGTAGAAAATATAACAAAATACTTTGTTTGCTATTGCTAATTAGACTGTTTCATTTTCGAAGCAAGCAACAATCAGCAATATTTTTTCTCTCTTTTCTACTACATTGCATTTTTGGTTGCAAAATTTTCCAAATTGCTCAAAATGCAACCAATCAAAAGTCAAAACCTAACACAAATGCAATCAATCAAAAGTCAAATGAAATCTTAAACCGTACCTCGCTAATCTAGTCAAACAGTACTCGGAACTAAAATAATAAAATCCCCCAAAAAGATATATCAGAATATATATACTTTCTATTTTTAACTATAGCATTTCTAAATTAAAAAGTTAAAAAATATTAACTTCGGTTTTCAACGCATATCCAGACCTATGAGGGGGCTCTTGCTATGACCTATGAGGGGGCTCTTGCGGCCAAAGACCTAATCGCATTTTTTTTTTATAATTGATGATGATATTTACTTAAAAAATAATTATAATATCTCATTTCCAAAATAAAAATAATATAATAAAATAAAATATGAAAATGCCTGACTGGATATCATATGGTTGTATGGCCCTATAAATGAACAAGGGACCGCTCCTTGGCCCGTCTCTCTTCTCTCGCCTAACACTACCACACACTTTCACGTCTTTCATCATCCTTTCTCTACTCAAACTTTTTTTTTCCTCTCTGAGTTCAATTTTTTTTTTCTATATTCAATCCATGTTCTAGCTCTTTTCGCCATAGCTCCACCTCTCACTAGAAGCTGTACAGTTAAACTTAAGGTATCATTCTCTCTCTCTCTCTCTGTTCACTTCCCGGAGTTTTTCATGAATCGGAGATCCTTTTTATATATCTCGATTATTACGTCTTCAGATCTGTAAATTTCGTTTCGAATTAGGCCTCCTGTTCTAAAGAATCGAATACTGCTTAAGCTTTTCCTCCGCAAAATTGACGGATCTGTTCCTAAAAATTATTCCGTTTTTTTTTTTGAATTTGTTCTCCGTCGCTACGTGGTTGAGACTATTGTTAGATTTCGTCAGATCTAATTTAATTTTTTTGAATTTGTTCTCTCAGATATGTATGTTTTTTTTACTAATTCATTTCGCGATTTCAAATTGATTCACAGGTCAATTTTCGTTTAATTTTTGTTCGTTGTCGCCGAAAGATGAATCACTGGGCCGTCCAGCCAAACGCTTTCTCCGCCGGCGGAGATTTGAGGAGCTCCGTTTCAGTGGTGGAAAGAGATCAGACTGTTGTCGTTTGCCCAAAACCACGTCGTATCGGTCTCCGTAACCCTGCCCTCTACGAACAGCACCATCCCGCTCGATCTCTGCGATGTTACTTCAGGTTAAACATCTTTGTCAATTTCACTCCATAGTTTTAAATTCATCATCGTGATGATTCGTTTTTTGACTAAAATTTTTGCAATCGTATTTTCTTTCCAGCCACCAAGTGGAGCTGTGTGAATCCAAGGCAGAGACTGATATCTTAGATATCATACTCACCAAGGTAACTTTTTTTTTGTTCGTAATTAGGTTTTTTTTTTTTTTGGAGTTCTTGGTAGGTGAAATTTGTTTACCAAACTGGTTACGTCTTGGTAGATCTCATCAATCAACAAACCAAAAAATCAGTAGAGAGTCGGTTTCGCATATTATTTTTGATTTTTAAAATTGAAAAAAGGAGTAATCGTGTACGATTCTTGATTATAAAAAAACATGTGAACTTTCTTGTGTTTGAGACTTGTCGAAAACATATTATTTTAAATATAAAACCACAAGATTTAGATTAAGACGTCTCGAGTTAACTCCTTACAGCACATAGGTGGGCCACTTTCATGACTCAATTTAGTAATCAATCATACTCACACGCGTCATCAAAGCTGTAAACTTTTGTATATTCTAAACAAATGAAAAAAACTGATGATGATGATGTTGTTGTTGTTTCGTTGTGGTCAACACAGGATGGTTATGGTACGGAACAGGTTCATACGAAGGTATTAGACTCGCCGTCCCCGTTTTTATGTGGGTCGCCGCCGAGCAGAGTCGCTAACCCATTAACACAGGATGCTCGATTCAGAGATGAAATCACGCTTGTCTCTTCTCCGATCCCTGCTCCGCTGGGCCAACCTCCGTCGTCGCCTTCTTCCTCCGGGAGGAAAGGTGGATGCGTCAGAGGCAATTTTGGTAACAGCCCAGCGGTTAGGATCGAAGGGTTCGATTGCCTCGACAGGGACAGTAGAAACTGCAGCATCCCTGCCTTGGCTTAGAAGAAACACTTGAAACCCACAATACTCCCTATTGAATTAACTCACAAAACTAAATTAGTGTCGTACATATAAGTGTTTAAGGATATATGGAGATGTTGTGGAGTCTTGAGGATAAGTGAGAGCACGAGAGATCGATCCTTTTAAAGTTGGAGTTTTTTTTTTTTAATTAAGAGTGTAAATAGCAGAAGTTTTCTGGGTTAAGTTTGTAGTGTTTTGTGGTCATTTTGTAAGTATTAAGGAAGAAAATGAGTTGTTGAGTTAAGGGAAAATAAAAGATTAGGGCTTTGGAGAAATATTAAGTACTATTTTGGAAGGTCAAGTTTTCTCTTCTATGGTCTTTTGTGTAAAGAGAGAGATGGAGATAGAAGAAGAGAAGGGTATTTTGGATATTTTCTTTTTTTTTTTAGTTGAGTCAGTTACGAAGTGAGAAAAAATTTGTACAAAAGGAAAAGAAATTCAAATGATATTTTTTTACTTTGAAAGCGAATCTTGTTTACTTCTGAGTTCAGAGAATATGTGGTTTTTGAGAAAAAGTAATGAGTAAAAAAGCTGTGAACTAAGAAGTGCCATGTGTTACAGTAACGTTGGAGGCTCGTTAAAAATATCTGGTTGGTCCAATTATTACTTTTCGTATAGTATCTTCCCTCTACGGAAAAAGATGTTTTTACTCTTCTCAAAAAGTAAAAGTAGTGAATAATATTGTCGGGTTTTGTTCTTTGTGATATGATTAAGGAATGTTAAGGGATATGAAACCAAAATAAGACCCATTTAATATTTTTCTAAAAGAAGAGTTGTTGTTGTAACTTTGTAAGGTTGAATTAAAAAAATGAAACACAGTTCTTTTGTTTAGCTATTAGTATAAACTTGCAAGGTATTAAAAGTAAATGTGTGACTATAATTTTGAAGAAAAAAAAAAGTGTGTGAATATATTCGTGATAAGATAATGCTACTTGTATTTTGTAAAAGAAGACTCATTTAAAATTTTAAGCTAGTTGTATAAATTTATATATCAAAATAATGGGGAAAAGGAGAGGCAGAAACAAGAAACGAACATGCGGTCTCAGCATCTTCTGCGCTTTTGGTTACAAGAATATCGTCAGATCTGTGAAAGCCTGACACTCTGCTAGTTGCTGACCCATCTCGAGCCTCTTTTTATTTCTTGCTTTTCAATTTGTTTCTAAGATTAACTCCTTTTAGCTCAAAAAAATCATCTACATATCTTTTCTTACCAGCAAACATAAACTCAAAAATCGATTAAAAAATTTGTTGTTCCATTTGTTTTTTTGTTCAAAAGAAATATATATTTTTATATTGTTGAGAGTGCAGAGAAATGAGCCGGTTCAACTTGACTCTTTTTCACTAGAAAAAAGATTGTGTGTTCTCTTTATTAAAGAGATAGTTTTGTGTTATCTCGTAATTGTAACGAAAAATTATCACTACACCAAAAAATAATTAGTCAAATAACTAAAAACATCATGTTTTTTAAGAATCTCGAACATTTTTTTTTTTGGGTTAAAGATCTTAAACATGCTTTTCTTTTTCTTTCAAAATTTTATGATTTATGCTAGTTCATAGCGTATATTATGATAAAAGATATTGATTTAAATGTTAAGATACTGGGAAAACACTATAGACTTGTTCATTTGGGTGTCATAGCGTTTGAAGTCTGCAACTACTGATAATTGCTTACAATTTTCTTTTTTAATGTTGCTAAACTAATAAATTGAAAACGTAACGTTAAAAAAAACAAAGAAGTTTGATGGTGTGGATGATGCAAAAAAAATAAAGTAACACACATCCTCTCTTCTTTCACTTCTGCAATAGATCTCTCTTTCTTCCGCAATAGATAATCAGCGACTTTTTTCCTCTTTCTTATCTTTTTTTCTCTTGAAATTTTGTATTGCTAATTATTGTCGCAACGTTTGTGAAAAGAATAGGACTTATACTAACGTTTTCATGCTCATAAACACTAAGTGAGTGGACCTGCAAAGTGCATTCAAATATTTTTCCCAACTATACAAGTGTAACACTTCAATAGAGTATCCTTTAACCAGAAATATAATACTATAATATACTTCCTTGTTCTTCAAAGATTTTATAGTTATAAATAAAAGTTTACAAAAGACTCTATTAACCTTATTTCTATTATTTATTATTTGAAATTTTCGTTAGATAATAAATATTAAAAGGGTAAACTAAATAAAAAAACAACAATAACTACATGTAAAAAGTTGAAAACATTCAATTTTTTGAAATATTTTTCCAAACATTTGTTATATTTAGGAGCACATAGAGTACTGTATAAGTCTAACACCAGTAAATATGATAATTAACAGACATAGGCGGACGTTATATTTGGATCTAGAGCCGACTTCAGAACTTCAACTATGTCTTTGTATCCCAAGTAGATTTAGAGAATCATAAACAATTAAAATAATATCGCGGTCAATAACTAAAGGGTTCGGAAAAGAAAATAGTGAGGAGATCGAGGTAGTTTGAAGATGAGAGATAACAACGTTACGTATATTTAAAATTAAATACTCATATAGTTTTACATAATAGTACTATATTTTCAACTTAAAAGTTGACAAAGGAAAGACATGCTCTTTAGTAAATTAAAAATACAGATTGGGAGATGTTTTAAATAACGAAAACATGTGGGGCGCCGATAAAATTGACCAAAGGCAAAGGTTGTTTAGTTTCGTAAATTGTGCATCCATTTCTCACATGACATTTGTCTCCCTCTTTCTTCCTACTTCTTCTTAATTTATTACTCCAATATTGGAAAGGGTGAATTTGATTGAGCTCTACTCCTATTATTTTAGAATATCGATTTTATACCCTTAGACCATCTCTAATGTGTTCCTCTATTTTTTCTCTAAAATAGAGAAACTCTAAAATGAAGGTGTACTTTTCTCCAATGTATTTTTCTATTTTTTCCTCTAAAAAGGAATATTTTAAGAATATTCTCTTTATAATTTATTATGAATACTTTCTTTCTATAAAATTTACAAATTAATTTCATTTATATTATTGTTTACAAAAATTTCCATCAATAATAAAAATATATTAAAACTAAACATTTATTTCATAAACAAAATTCAAAATGACTATAGTATTTGTAATTTTCCATAATTTTCAAAACATTTATTAAATCACTATAGTATTTATCATTTTCTATAATTTCTGTATTTTTAAAAAATTATTGCAATTTATCATTTTATTTATAATTTAGTTTGAAATAAATGAGAATTTTCCAATTTAGTTATATTATATGTTCACAAAATTTTCTCAAACCATAACAAAATTATTAAATTTATTTATTTATTAGGTTTTGTATTTAATAATATACAAAACTGTATAATGTAACTTTATTGACGTATTATTGTACATGTGTATACTATATTGCTATTCATGTTTATTTTTTTATCGTGGATTAACCACTTTCATTTATAAATTATATAGTTAATTAAAGTAAATAATGTTTTCTGTTTTTCTATAATAGTTATTGTCTGAAATGATGTTGATTTTATTAAACTTTATTAAAGTTATTTAATATTTTATAATTTAATTAAATTTATATGTTAGATATATGGCTATTTATTGGATATATATAAACTAGATTATGCAAATATTTAATTTAACTTTTTATATGTTATATAAATAAAAATAAAAAAGATGTAAAAGTTAAGGGACCAGTTTATAAATAAAAAGGTGTATCTCTATTATAGAGGAACAAATAGAGTTCCTCCAAATATAGAGGAAAAAATAGCAACTTCTATTTTAGAAGTAAAAATAGAGGTGAATTGGAGAGAATTTTTCTATAAACTCTATTTTTCCCTCTAAAATAGAGGTAGATTAGAGATGCTCTTACAAAACCTTGAAAACATAACACTTTTTTTCTTTTCTTTTCTGAACAGCCTCGTATAAATTTAGACTTTGTCCTGACCAAATTTCATCAATTCTTTACCAACGATTGAGCTCTTAAGATTTTTTTGGGTTAAAGCTTGATGCAGTTTAGTTAAAGAGGCAAGAGTACCAATACCCACTCTACTCTTAACATTATCACCCAAAAAAAACTCCACTCTAGCAAAGCCCACTAGTATTACTAAATTGAACCCAACGGTTGAGAGAGCCTAAAAGCCCACTTAGTGGCCACATTTCGCTGACATGTCCTTATCCAGTGGAAGAAGTTGTAGGCAATAGGATTCATTTCTATAGGTTTATTTTGCAGTCTCAGTTTCTTGTATATGGGGGCTCTTGAGTTTTTTTTTTCTTTTGAATTAAAAACAAAAAGCTCCGTTGCCGGGAATCGAACCCGGGTCTCCTGGGTGAAAGCCAGATATCCTAACCGCTGGACGACAACGGATCGATGGGTTAATGAGTTTATATGGCATTTAGATCAGATTCCAAAATGAATCAATTACTTACTGAATTTTGCCAACGGCCCATTTAAGTTTGGTACCGTTATTGGGCCATTAAAAACGAGTTAGTGTTTACAAAATGAGCACCTTTTGGGGATGTATGCATGAGCTGGTGGATAATGGACAGATTTGTATCAACTCATCAAATATATGCGTTGGATTTGAAGTAGGAGTAAAATATGAAAGATAGTTAATGGTTTTCACATGATATCAAACGGAAAAGTTAAAGGTTCTATTCACGATACAACAGTTATATACGCAAAATTTTATTTGTTTGTGTGGTGATATTCTTTTTTTATATGAGGTGCACGAAAATGATATTTCTTTGCTTACAAGTTTGGATAATGTTAGAAATCGATGATATAAACTTGTAGGCGGAATGGAAGATAAAATATTAAGTCGGCATCCGTAATCCAATTCATTTCCTGAGTATTCGTCAAAACTGCTCAGCTGTATTAAAAGAAAGTAGTTAGATTTCGTTTTACTTCTGATATATATATATATTCTGATTATAAAATTCATTCGTGTTTTGGTCCTTTTGGACTTTAATATATCGAATGCATGCATCTCTAAAGCATGCATTACAGCAGATTGCAATACACCATGTTAATTGCAGTTATGAATATGACTAAAATTTTGAACCAAAAAAAAAAATGATTAGAATATGATTGTGTTGATTTTTTTAAAAAAATTTAACTTCCAAAATTATGTAATTTTTTTTGTTAATGCTAAGAGAATAAAGATAGTTAAACTAAGATATTAATTAGATGGATCTATATAAAAATATAAGATAAAGTTATGTTTTTAGTTATTGTAAAGCCACCGCAATCACACTATATAATATACAATACTAATAGACAGATAATAATGTTTTATAAGATATGGCAAACGGCTATAGGTTTTTGGATTTAGGTTTTTAGTTTTTTAAAAAAATACCAAACTTCAATAATCTTCTGATATTTTTATTGGAAAAATAAGATAAAAGATAGTTATTATAAACAAATGTATGCAAATTCGATTGGACGAAACATTATATTTTTTGTAACTTTGATTAACGTTTTGAATTAGATAAACTCGAAATGTAAAACGTTTTGAGACTCTAGATTGTCAACTTCACGCCCCCACTTACAGATTAATTGAATTTTGTACGAAAGCTCTTAATTTAAACAATCTAAAATCTCAAAACAGTCCAACCGAAAACTTTTTATCGGCCATGCCTAATTTCTAATAATTAAAAAAAAAATGTTGAACTAACCTTTCCGCAAAACAAAAAACGTGGCGTGGTGATAATGACCGAGAGAGAAGGAAAAATGAAGGTAGACGGAGAGAAGGTCCACCTGCCACTTGCCCCTTCCGATCCAAAACAATTTCAACTTGCCTCTTTGGCCATTTCTTAATCCCTCAATACACATTTTTGTTTCACATTATCTCACTTTCCTTTTAGAAATTTTCTTTTTTTCTAATCCATTTTGGGTAGTTACACTCCACTTGAAAAAAACCGACTTTCTTTTAAGTTTTAAATATCACCCCACTTGAAACCCATCAACTTCCAAATCAATACCAAACACATTCAAATTTATCTTCGTCGTTTATAACTTTTTGCTTTGTTTTTATTGACAAATATATAATATGCAAATTTGAATTCGGTCGTCGACATATGCGTATACTTTTTTGAACATTTGCTTATGTCTAGCTAATTGAGTAGCGGATACTTTTAAAAGTAGTTTATTCACGTTAACTTTTTATAAAAAAAAATATTGAAAGAGTACTCAGAGATGGTAAACTTAGGACATCTATAATTCTATATTAGTTGTAGATTTAAAATAAAGGTTGTCGACCAAAATAATAATAACAATTAAATAAAAGCTGTTCTAAATACCGGTATTAGAGATACCGATCACGTGACTTAGAAATACGTTCTCAAAGTGAGAGAGAACTTGGTCCAGAGAATGATGTGTTGTACTCTTAACATGTTGGAGTACATAATGTGCTAAGACTATTTACCGACTAAAAACTTAGCTTAAAAAATACAGAAGGAGATGGCGTGAGAAGTAGGCAGATAATGTGATGCTGTATGTTCCATCTCTTAAAGAAGACGACGTGGCTGAATTCCAACCGAACAAATAACGCCGTCGACAGTCGGCACATGAGTTTCAAAATCTGACGGTCATCATTGGATTCGAAATCACACTTATAGTCCCATAATTTCTGAGAGCTAGTGCAATTATTTAGACAATTTTTTAGAGCTTTCACGTGTATTAAATAATGTAAGATTTAAAGTATCATCTAGGAACTTAGGAACTTTATTACCGATCATTATTAAATGGTTTTGAGTTGAAAATTTATGGAATTTAAGATAATATCAGAGTTCAATTCATTTAATATGACTATGTTGTCTAATATGCACATTGCCAATTCAATAGTAGAATTCGGTTCCAGATACACAAATAAAAACCATCACTTCGAAAACAACTTAAAAGTCTCTAAAAAAATATGAGTTGATTATTTATTACTACTCTCTGTTTTTTAAAATAAGATGTTTTAGTTTTTTTTTTTTTAAAAAGTTTGATGTTTTAGATTTTATTTAATATATTTAGTTTTACAAGAAACCTTTTAGCAATTGAAAACAGAAAAGTAGTGTTAAAATAATAATAAAAAATAAAAAGTAATTCAAAAATAAAGAGAAAAATAATTATTTAATTATATCTTAAAATGTGTGAAAATCCTAAAACATTATACTTTTAAAAAAGGAGAAAATAATTGATTTTAAGATTTGAAATAGTATATAAAATATATATACGGATCATGGGAAAAGAGTTGATTGATATTTTTCTCTTGTTATGAGAAGACCATATAGCAGTAGTTTTATGTTATGTGTATACAATGTATTTCACACAAACTATTATACTTTTTCTTCTATTAATCACTTTAGCACATTTTTAATTCTTCTAATTAATTTATTTTTTATACTATAATTTAAATTATTATCATTATGACCACTGAAGATATGTGATTATTAAGTGATTAGTAGCCATTGATAAGTAGTGGCCAATACATTATACGACTCTACTATAGCCATAACACATATGCTATGGCCAACAACATACCACACTGAGAAAATCAGTGGCCAATTGTATCTACATAGCCACATAACAAAGTGGACACATATACAAATAGCTTTGCAAATTCGTTATCAGCGTGACCGTATATTTTCGATGACTATTGCAATCCCAACTAATCACAGATTTTGATCGTGACCTATCCGTAAGAAGTCACCACCGATAGCCATTGAAGCCAACTTTACCACACAACCATAGCCACAGATTTGTGTCCATAGCTATGCAAGAGAAACATGAAATTAGTCACAAATGTTAGTTTATAACCACGTGTATTGTTTATCTTATGTTTATCATTGAGTGTTCAATCCGAGTTTCGTTTAAGTTTAAGTTTGGATCATTTGGTTTTTTTTGTTTAAAACAAAATAAAACTAATATTAATATTAATCAACTTTGTACATCTTTCATTTTGATTTCAAACAGATTTAACTTTAATCAAATATATATTTTTGTCAAAAATAATTAAGTTTTTTTCTTTGATTAAGATTAGCATTCTAGTCATATTAAAACTCAGTTTAACTTTCAATTGTTTTTTCTGTTCGATCATATCTGATTGGTGCAATTCTACCGAATTAAACCTTCTTAATCATGGCCACACTTTTTTTTTCTTCCTTTAACATCACTTCAGCATACTTTATATCTTTTATCTTTACATTTAATTTAAATAAATAAATTTAGCTTAGCATGCAACATGCTGTTTTCTTTGTATGATAAAATAATACTGCCGTCAAAATAAATAAATAAATAATTAAACAATCAAAATTGAGATTCAAGAGCTGAATCATTCGTTGACTTGTTCATCTCTTGAACTTGCCAATTTTGTCTTCACTTGGCGATCACTTTGAAGTTTTAAAAATGTCGACCAAGTATTTAAGTATGACTAAAAAGTATATATAGAACCAACTAATCTTTTTTCTATACCCGGTTAATCTTTATATATTTAAGAAAAAGATAGTACGTAGCTGTAAGATTGATATAAACAACTTTTAACAGTATTTTATACTTTCTCAGTCTCTTAAAAAAGAATCTTTTACTTATTACAAAAAATCATAAATTGACATTTTCATTATTTATTTTTATTAATATAAAAATAAAATTAAAAAAATTAAGAAAAAGAATAAGAATAAAATAGAAATTATTTAACAAAAATTATCTTGAAAAATGAAAAAACCTTTTTTTTAAAATAGATTTTTTCCTAAAAGATGCTTCTTTTTTTAGAAATAGAAAGAGTATATGTTAAATATGAAGATTAATCCTTATATTTAAGTATATATTGAACCAACTAATCTCTTTTTTTTTCTGTACCCGGTTAATCCTTATATATTTAAAAAAAGATGGTACGTAGTTGTTTGTAACATAAGACTGATATAAACAATTTTTAACAGTATTTTATACTTTTTCAATTCCTTAGAAAAGAATCTTTTACTTATTACGAAAAATCATAAATTAACATTTTTATTATTTATTTTTATTAATATAAAAATAAAATTAAAAAGATTAAGAAAAAGAATAAGAATAAAATAGAAATTATTTAACAAAAACTACCTTGAAAAATAAAAAACCTTCTTTTTGAAATAGATTTTTTCCTAAAAAATGCTTCTTTTTTTAGAAATAGAAAGAGTATATGTTAAATATGATATTTACTATTAAATTTTATAACACACAATTCTGAGTTACGTTTTTTGTTTTTTTCGCTTTCATTTGACCATTTAATTAAATGTTCTCAATAAAAGTCAAATCAATTTAAAATTCCAATTCTTAAAACACTATTTTCCCTAAAAACTAAGAAAGTTATTTTGATACATTCTTTGATTAGACTTTTTATATTTATTCGAAAATGAAAACTCATCAATTTTTTTAAATGTCAAATTCATCATTTCTTGATTTCAAAAAATATTATATTATTACTTCTACAAACCATTCGCAGTTGATCACCAAATTGGATGAATGAATGTTACTTCTTTTGGGGTAAGTATTTTCATCTTTAGTTATTAATTTGGTTTGATTGACAAAAAAAAAAGATATTAATTTTGTTTAAACTTTAAACACTACCGAAGATATTCGGAGTGGGGAGAGGGAAAAAAAAAAGAGAGAAGGAGGACACGTAGGGCAAAAAAGGAAACAGACAGATGTGTGAGTGTGACGTGAGGCAACTGAGTTATACATGAAAACCAATGTCGGTAAAACAATTCAAACAAAACAATCTCCACGTCTCTCTCTATCTCCAACTCCCATATGTCTCCTTGCACTAACCACTTCATCTACCTTTATCTCCTTATAAATAGCCTCTTGACTTCACTCTTTAACAAGATCACACCAAATAAATATCCTCTTGACTTCACTTTTTAACAAGATCACACCGATCTCATCATCACCACTAACACTTTTTTAATATGAAGAGACAGAGAGAGGAGGTGAAGGAAGAGGAGACTGATCAGTCATTGGCTGTTGCAGCCATGGCGGTTGCTGTTGCGTCGGCGGCGGCAGAGGAGGATGTATTGTGGGGCGGAGGAGTGGCGGAGGAGATGACGTGGAGCACCGTGTGGTTACCTTTTTGGGACGTTGAGTTCGTTGGAAGAAACTACAGTTTATTGTTCAGTGATGTTGTTTGGGACGAAGATATTTGGAACCTTAAGAATCTAACTCATTCCTCATAGTCCTTTCCTTTAACAAAAATCGGATTTATAGTTCCCTTCTAGATAATTCCTTTAATTATTATCCTTCAACGGGGATATTTTGAAATTAATTATCTAGATTTAAATCCGTTTTCAAAACTTTGTTCATACCTTAATAATATATAGTGTATTGTTAAATTGTTATATAATTGCTTAAATGCCGTGCCTAGGCTTGTTTCAAGGGTGATTCCAAAATAGTATTTTTTTCGAAGTCAACTGAATGTTTTTTCGGTTCCGGTTTATTACTTGTAATCCAATTCCTGTACGAGAGCAATTAAATTTTGGATTCCGTTTGGTTTGGGTTGATAAGTCACACCCAACTTTTTTTTTTTGGTTCAACTTGTCACACCCAACTTAAACCAAGTATATAAATAGTTTTGGTTCGGTTTACTACTCGATTTAGTAGAGGTTCGAACCGGGATAAATTGTTTCCGGTTCAGTTCAGAAATTATCAGTTTTCTTGCGGACAAACCAATAAGTAACAAACATAGATCTATGTTTCAAATCAATGTTTTGAATTCCGATCCGGACCGGCTGATTTACTTAGTTAAACCGAAATCCAGTCATTCATCCGGATCGGTTTTATTCTTAATATTCAAAAATTATTAATCCGGTAAAATCTAAAAAAACTCGCGAGTAACTCATAATCCAATGATCTTTTAACCCAGTTAAACCAGTAATTTCATTTTTTTAATTAAAAAATATTTTCAATATAAATAATATCTCAGTTTTGTTATTTTGTGATTTTTGTTAAGTTTTAAAGTTTGTAATTTGTATTAATATTAAATTTTTTTTCAGCTGTTTGTGTTATGTTTTGAACAATTTATATTATGTTTTTTATATTTAACAATTTGATCAGTTTATATTATGTTTTTATATTTAAATCTATTTTTTATTTTTAAAATTATATAATATATATATTATATAAATTTTTATTAATTAATTAATCTGCGATTGATCAATCCAGATATATATTTTGGTTTATTTTCTGAGTCGGGTTTTAAAACATTGTTTCAAATAGATTTTTTACAACAACGGAAGTAATGGAAAAATCAAACAAGAAACAAGAAGAGGAGAAGAATAGATATTTGGGCTTTAAGGCGAGTGAACTTAGATGTGGGGAGGCTTGTAGGCAATAAAACTGATGCATTGGACTTGACGAGTATTGTCGAATCCAATGATACGGAGGATAAAGGCGTCAGGGTATTCTTTTCTTGTACTCCTCAACTTCCTTCAACACGTGCATCCGAACAACGGAAGTTTCCACTTGTTGTGCTCACGGTACACGAATCCGTGTTGTCCAAAACGTTGATCGTTTTAGTTGAAATGTAAGTTTAGAGGATTTGATGTAAAGAGATCAGAGAGATTCTTCAAATAATTAATCAAATGTTACCTCTAACTCGAACTCAATGCAAGGAATCCACTTATTTCAGATAATTTAGTCGACCTCGTTAGCCAAAGACACGTCGCTCAGGTCGGAAGGTAAGAGAGAGTCTCGAACTTCTTCTTTCCAATCGGTGGCCACACCTACACATGACCGGCTCAACCATATTAGGGATTATGTACTAGTTTAGTTTAAAATGGTTCCAAAATAAAAAATCTAAAGTCGAGCAAAGAAATGTGGTACATATTATTGAAAACGAAAAATTATGTAGAGCTTAATTCGACTATACTAAACCATGTTTACTAATTTATCATAAACTAGTATAACTTTTGGAAGCCATATAATTTTAATAAATGACAAGTTTTTGTTTGTCTTCTTCTTTATGAGTATCATAATTTGAGGTACGACAGTATAAATGTAACTTTCCCAGTTGGGAAGATAGTACAAAAAACAATGTTGGGGCTTAATGCATTAAAAAACAAATTTTTAGACCTTTTGCATTGCATCTCCGGCACACCTTTATTAATTGTGAAGTCACGTGGTTGTATTAATTCACTTAATTGGGTCACCTCTAAAACTATATGGTTACAAAAATAGTTATATGAAAATGCTTTTAGTGCCGACATACTAGTGGGAGTATAGTTACGTTTACAATACGAATCTAGAATGGAAGAATGTTGCTGCCGATAATACAACCGATGAAGCCATAATCTATCCTTCTCTTTAGACCACTCTCTTATGTGTGAATCAGTTGATATCGAATTGCATCTCTTCCGGGATTGTTTTTATTTACCCAAATTCTTTTGATATCTTCTTGTAATTGCTTTCCTTGAAAATTGTTGATGTTAGTTTTTTATTATTTTCCTCATATTTTTGTTCTACCATTCCAATGGTTTTGATTAAATTTGAGATTGGATGAAAATAATGAAAAGCTTTGAACAGAGTTCTTGGATCATCGTCGAGCCTTATCGTAATATTAATTGTTGGACAATAGATTTTGCCACGTGGCACCGTTATCTTATCTCATCTCATCAAAGGTAGCCTCTATTAGCCCTTCATTTTTTTTTTTTGTCACCATCCAAAGCCCTTCATTTATTCTCCCTTTATTCTCTTAAGTTCTTAACTTTGTGTATTGAGATGAAAGAAAAGCATTCATTGTTCAGTTTTGAATCGGTCGGGAAAAATAGTTAAATTGATAATCTAAGTATGTTAGAATCTGTCACTTGTTTTCTTATTCTTATATTATTATACAGTTAATTGACCCAAAAAAATTATACAATTATAAAGTATATATGTACATTAGTACATATCCTAAGAAATATGCAGTAATTAATGTGGACCAGTCTAACGCTTCGGAATATAATGCCGACCATTCCAAAGTTCATGGTTGTCTCAAATGAGTTTAGAAATTAATTGACTACTTGTCCCCAATTGTAACAGAAAACAAGTTGCAAATTTATAACGGCTCGAGCAATCAAAGATTCAAAGTGAAAGGGGCCACTTGTTCATATTATATAAAGGCATATAAGATCCACTTGTAAGAACTTAACCTTAAGTTTAGGTCTTCAATGTTTTTATTTTGTTTTTGCCGACTAGTTTATTTAAATAATACAGTTCACAATGATCTTTTACGAGTAGAAGCAACTGACTCGACAGTAAAAATAAACCCTATAACATGTGCATACAAACCCATTTTAGGACTGAGCTAACACCTAAAACTCTTAAGTCCGTTTTTAATTTGGATTACAAAGATAACATTCAGATTCGCTAGCGCAAGTGGCTTGTTCACCTCAGCAAAACTCTTAAGTCCGTTGTTTCGAGTTTCGACTTACTTTCCCACAAAAAGGTTGAGAAAAAACCATTCCTATCGACACAAAATGTATGTGTCTTTGTAATGCAGAAAAAAACCCAACTTCTTGGCCCACTGGAAAAGCTAATCCATGAATTGATCCAGTAAAGTCGATAGTTAAGAGCCTTCAAAATATTGTTTTTAAAACCGGAATGGAAGTCGAACTGGATAAGTGTTTGGACGGTTTAACATTTGTATAATGATTGTTAAAATTTTAAGACTCTATTGTTATTGGTAGATGAAATTTAACATATTTACTAAAATTAATTATTATTAGTATAAAAATTTTCAAATTCTATATCAAATCAATTGTTATTCAAAAAATTTAGTTTTTAATGATTTCATCAATCTATTAAAATATTTGTTATTAGGACGAAGATTGTTAACAATTTAACTCACTAAACAAAACTTTCAAAATATTATCTATATACTTTAGATTCTTTAAAAATATTATAATAAAATATTTTGATAGATTTTTTAAATGTTCATAACTCTCTTTAAATCTAACAGACTCTTTACATATTTAACAAATTTCTCAATTTTTAAAATCATCACAACTCTATATAAATCTTACTCCCACTAACACCCTTTAAGATTTGAAACTTCCATTGTTATAGTTTAACTTCTATAATTTGTAAAAAGAGACTTTAAATATTAGTGTTTTCCAAATTTAGACTTTACATACTTTGTTATACCAATAGTGTCTTAACTTCTGGTACTGCAGAAGATTACGGGCCTCAGATTTCACGTGTTTCTTGTTTTCTCTTTAAAAACATAAATGTAACGCTTATAATTCGTAACAATTTTTTAAAAAATATTGATGTTTCTCAAATTTAATCTATACATATTTAATAAAATTACTAACATAGCCATTTTGAAAAGTTGATTTTAGTAAGATAATATGGCAACAAAATCATAAATAAATGAGTTTTAAATCAAAATTGTAACATTTATAATTTGTTACAAGCAAAACTAAATATTAGTACATTAAAAATTAGTCTTGACATACTAAATAGAGTTTTTTACAAAACTATTTTCAATAAACTGATTATTAAAATGATGTGGTAACCAAAGTAGTGGCGGCCTAGTGGTAGTATAAGTGGGCTGATTTTCTTGTGACCCAAATTCAAACCCACAGGTAGAGACTAAAATATATCTCCTACCTATTAATTGACAATGTAGATTAATGAATAATGCTTATTTGTTTTAATTTTATTGGTAAAAAACATCAATCTAACCTAATTAAATGTGACATGGAAATGATGATGTGTAATGATGATGTAATTGTGACTTGAAATATACAAGCACATGTAGATTATGACATGATAAAAAATATTTATGTGTTTAATTTATTTAGTTAAAATAATTGTTAATTTTTTTCTTTGTGACGATTTTGATAAGAGCTCACGATTTCTCTGTTCGAATTTATGTGGCAATGTAGATAAAGTAGGAGAGGCAAGAGAAAGCGTCAGCTTTCTTTAAAATGTCACAGTTCTTAATTATCATAATGATTTAGTTGGTGATGTTTTTGTTTATGGACTTCATCGTTGATTGCAATTTGATAGGGACGAGCCGTGGAGTAAATAAGACAAAGAAGTGTTGTGATGTATTTTCACGGTTTGTCCAAGAAACGTTTTGAATCATATAAAGAAAGTTCTAAGCAGAATCAAATCAGTATGGTCACTCTCTTCGGGCAGCAGGTACAGTTTCCAACTTTAATTCGTTTTTTGTGATTATAATCATTTTCTT